CTGTCGTGAAACGATACATCGTCGTCACGATCTAGTGGGAACTGCTAGTCACGACAGTCGTCCAACGATAATAAAACGTGACGACATAGTGCGAACGTGCCCTTACTCATAGCACAAATTACAAAGAAATACGACTCTTTGTATTAACTATAGTACGGGTACGACTTTAGAAAGAGATGACCGAGTGTGAACTATGTGCAAGTTTGTCAAACTTGTTTGGTGGATTATTTGATCGTTTGCGACATTGTTTGAAGAAAACGTGAATTTTGAATCATAAATTTGACAAATTGTTTGATCGTTTACGGGGCGCTTAAGTCTTTTGCATTATGCAAATCTAAAGGCATTTTACAACGTTGTCAGCCTATGCAAATTATGTAAAACACAATTGCCAATTTTCTTGCAATGTTGGTGTAATCTTCCATCTCGAGTGTGGTTTTGCTAGTGTTAGAAATACTTAAGTTTGTTAATGTCCCGTTCGTATCCATGCTTGAAGCTTTGCATGAAATCTTCAATTCGTAAACATGATAATTACTATAAAAAGATTATACCAACATTTATGAAGTGAATACGGCGGCATTTTACAGGGTATTAAATTAATTTTTAATTCTCAAACTCATTCAATTCCAGGACTGGCTGGAGTAACCTATTTTTGCATCTAATTTTTTATATTACCTACATAAAATCATACTTTGTTCGTTGTGCCATTTTCCCTTAAGCCGTCAGCGGCGCTGTCGGGCCCCGCGCCTGCACCCCTCGGCACTCCCGACGCGTCACTGACGCCTAACCTAACCTTAAAATATTAAGTACCTAATGAGTGAAATGACTGACAGCAGTCAATACGACTTCGAATTTCGAGTTGCACCCCTTGAAAATCGATGCATGATGACGTATAGAGTTGCTGTCGGACTGTGTGCGATGCACGCGTGTGTGTGACTGTACTAATTCACAATGGAGGGCAAATGGTCATCGGCGGTGGACCGAGCGAGTGCTACCCAGTTGGCTTCAAGCGCTAGAGCTCGGTACATCGTGGCTACAGCTTTAGATCGTATGGCCGAAGCTCAAAAGGACAACCGTCTACTGTCTCGAGCCATTACTTCCTATCTGCATCTGCTGAAGATGAACGAAAACCTCTCCGATCAGAAGATTAGAAACATAAGTGACCGAACCTTGGATAGAATACAATTTAGAGGTCAGTTTTCTAGTAAATGTATTTAATTTTTGTCTCGAGTTTTGACGTTTTCGTATTTTATTTCATTTAGTTACGTGTATTGAAATTTGGTCTTTAATATTAGTACCCATCAGTGGCACGCATATGGGTTGATGTTAAAATGCAGTTAACTTACAAAAGGTGTCAAAAATTTTATTTGTCTTTGTATAACAGGAAATTATTTAAGCGCGGAACCCGTGTACCGTCTTTTGATTCGTCGGTTTCCTGACGTGTCTGGCTACCGAAACAACTTGACCATATCATTTCTTATGGCCAACAGGTACTAATTATCTACATACATTTACTTTTACGTGTTGGTAAAGATATATATTTACTTTAAAAACATTATTTCTACTTCAGGGCGGATCTAGCGGAAGAAAATCTGAAAGAAACGCTTCGATTATGGCCCAAAGACCGTGTCGCATTGGCACATTATGCATTTGTTCTAAAAAACCAACATAAAAAATATGAAGAAGCTGCGAAATTATTTGAGAAAGCTCTAGAAGGGGACTCAGGTCCCGCATGTGAACCTCGCTTCTACTATCATTATGGGGATGCATTACTTTTATTAGGTCGGTATAAAGAGGCTCACGAAGTACACAAAAGAGGAGCGAAACAAGGTCATTTCTTATCCCCAGCACAGCGCTCACTTTACAACGTCAAAAGATTAAGAGGACGCCCTTGGTGGAAAGTTGAAGACACTCCGTATGTTCAATTAGCTCGTGCTTTAGAAAAATCGTGGAAAGATATTTTGAAAGAGGGAGAAGCAGCTACAGCACTTTATGAGCAAGAAAAAGAGGGACTTAAAGAACGAGGGAATTGGTCCCAGTTGGATCTTTTTGTTAGAGGACGTGAAATCCCTGATAGATGCAACCGAGCGCCTGTCACTTGTTCCATTGTAAAATCAGAGCCAGCGGCTGTTGGATGTCGTAGAGGACAAATCAAATTCAGCGCAATGGAACCAGGAACACACGTCCGGCCACATGTTGGGCCAACGAATTGTAGACTTCGAATGCATTTGGGCTTGAGCAATACCAAAGATACTCATATACGAGTAGATCAGGAAACAAGGTAATTTTTATAATGGTCATACCTACGTTTAACATATTTGAACTTACCAAAGTACTAGGGGTGTCAATATTCTGTATAAAGTTTTCATGGTACAGATAGATTTAAAAGTGTAGATTAGACATGATTTCAGTAGCAGTAGAGCTTCTGTGAAAGAGTACGTCCAGGGAAATACTGCCACCTTACCTTTGATCTACCAACAAATGGACGTCGGGTTTGCGCTAAAAAGTGTCCGCACCTATAGGGCGTCAAAATCACATACAGAGCGTCAATCGCGCAAAAGTCTTCGTTTATTCGACTGACAGCGCGGTTGTCAATCGTGCAGTACTACATAATAATATACATATGAGTCGTACCTCCGCGATAGGAGCCAAGCAGTTGCGATTAAAGGATTCATTTCCAGTTTCATCCCTATTAGTTCCGGTGTTCCCCAGGGATCTCACTTAGGACCTCTCCCTTTCAATATTTTTATAAACGACGTTAAAAAATGTTTTATAAATTCAAAATTACCTCTATTTGCTGACGATACTAAAATTTTTAATGTTATTAAATCTAGCCAGGATTTAATAACATTTAGAAAGCTTTTATGTTATTAACATAATTTGTAATTGATCGGAGGAATTTTTCTTAGTTTTTGATCAATGTAACAAACTAGTGGAGTGATTTCCCATAATGTAATTGAATATCATGGTGGTTGAACATCATGATATCCAATAAATTTAAATTATAATTAAAATTGATTATTCACTTGTTGCTTAGTGGTAATTATTATGTTAGTTGCTTATAGTTATACGTATAAATTTGTCTTTCCAACGTAGCTATTTTAAACATTAGTGGAAACTTTTGGCTAGTGTTTGTTTAATATTTGTTGATAATGAAATGTATTATATGATGCTGTATGTTTCCTAAATAAATAAAATTAAATTAAAATAAAATAAAATAACTTGTAAAAATTACTGCAGTAAAGTGTGAAAACAGGATTTTGTATTATATTTTCACTAAACAAATATATTGCGTTATTATAGTTATTATTTAAAATTGTTATTTTGTACAGTTGTATAATACTTAATTTATATATAAATGAATCGTAAATATAAATTACAAAAGTCATTGACTTACAAATAAATGGACGTCCGGTCCGCGCTAAAAAGTGTCCGAACTTACAGGGCGTTAAAATCGTATGCACAGTGTCAATCACGCTTTAGTCTTCGTTTGTTCGACTGACAGCGCGCTTGTCAATGATGCCGTATCGTGTAGTAAAACCTTGTAAAAATTACTCAACTAAAGTGAAAAAACAGGGTGGTATATCATATTTTCTGTAAGTACTACATTGTGTCATCATTGTTATCATTTAAAAGTGTTCTTTTATGCACTAGTATATATAGTATTTAATTTATATTTAAATTAATCCTAAATATAAATTACAAAAGCAATCAAAATAATCAAATAGCTAACTGTCTCTTTCCGACTCTTTGCTTGCGTAAAAGACTGAACGAGACCCATCACATCAATTTCAATTGTTTGAAACACAAGCTTTTGAAATATTTAGAACAAAAATTTCATAGAGTCGCTTTAATGCTAATGTTATTATTAAAATATTTTTTAATACATGTTAGTAATACCTTCAAATATTGTTGTACTCTTTCTACGGCTCGGGGTTACGAATCAGAAGACCGAAAATACATTTGCCCGAAATAACGTTTGCATGAATTTCCATAATCCCGATTTTTTAGGTTTCGGGAGAAATATGTGTATGGCCTACATTTATTTCTCTCGTGAGTTTGGGTGTAATTTGTGGTTGTCTATATGTGTGTCCATGGCACCCGCGACAACGGGTTTCTCTAATGCCGGCAATGTTGAGTGTGTGCGTTATTATAATAATTATTATTAATCAGTACCTAAGTGTTTATTTTGGAAAGCGTTTCTCTTGCGCAATCAATATCGCGCATTTTAATTTTGTAATTATCTCACAACGGCAAATACCCTACTACCGCCATAGCCGTACTTTTTCTTGCACAAGAAACATTTGCAAGAACTATGAGCAGTACGACTATGCCTGTTGACGGATTCAACCGTCGTCAGTGATAAACCGTAATAATTATATTGAATCAATGTAAGCACTACGGCATATAGAAAAGTGGTGACATTTTTGAGCGCAGTATAAATTCAGTACTATGCACGAATGGGTTAAGAAAATGGTAAGAAAAGAAAGGAAACCAGAGCTGATGCAAGCTTTATAAGACCATAATATTAAAGCTTAATATTAAATCATAATATTAAAATTTGGTATGTGATTACATCAATGAGTGAACAAAAACACTGCATAATAATACAAATAGAAACAACCTTGATAGCCTAACGGATTGCACTGTGGGCACTGGATGAGAAGTTCCCGGGTTCGATACCGGTAGGATCAATTTAACAAATTAACTTTTCTAAATGGTTCTGGTCTTGGTATTCTACTGTAAGACAATCACCTGGTTTGAAACTAGGGAACTCTCTGTACATACTCCATGAGTAACAGCATGAGTAAGAGCAACAGGATCCCAGAGCAGAACCAATTTACAAAAGTTCATTTCCCAAATTGGTTCTACTGGGAATCGAACCTGTGACCAAGAACAATGGAATTTATTCCGGGGCATAACTCAGAACACCCAGGCCAAAACAACTTTTGAAAAGTTCACATTTAGTTTTATAGATGATTGAGCTGATTTTTTACGGTTTGAAAAAAAAATTCTCAAATAATTCGAGAAATCGGGTACGAGAATTCTCGGAATCAAGAAAAAAAAGTCAGACACCCTAGCTCGTAATAAATGGCATTGTATAAAATTCAACATTTACATATAAAATTTGTTTATAAATAATAAAGGCTACTCCATTATACCTGTGTTCAAGTAGTTTTCACTAGAAGGTACATATGGTGTATTTTGGTAAGTTTCCAGTAGAAGCTGAATATGGTGTTTTTTTGCGCCTTTCAATTGTTGCAAGCAAAATTAGGCAGTACTGCAATGACATTACAATTTAAATTCAACGTTTTAGCTTTTTCATATTCCTTTACATGTCACTACGTTTAAATAGGTTGACTTGGGACATTTTTTTCGTGGTTTTTGTATTAGACCCGTCGTCCATTTATTTGTAAGTCAATGACAAAAGCAAACAAAATAATCAAATACTTTTTTAATAGCTACTACCCTTTTTCTACACATAGCATGCGCAAAAGATGGAAAGAGACACATTACGTCAGTTTCAAGAATCCCATATAAACTTCTTGGTCATTTTAAATTGTGAACCTTAAGCGATTAAATATATTTAGAACAAAGAAAGTATAGAGTCGCATTGATTTTAATCTTATTTTTAAAGTGATTTTTTTATTAAAGTTAGCAATAACTAACAAAATATTGTTGTACTCGTTTTACGGTTTGGGATTACCTATCAGAGATCAGAAAATACATTTGTCCGAAATAATGTTAGCTCAAATTTTCATAATATCAAATGTATTTTTTAAGAATATTACAAAACAAAAGTTAATTTTGTCTTTGCGAAAAGCATCAAAATTACTGGAAAGCGTAACGGTTTTATTATAATTCGGTTTTCGGAATTTCGGATATTGGAATATCGGTACATTTCTTATTTTCACATTTGTAATATTTGTATGTACGTATTTGCTCAACTCTTTATTATTTCCTTAAGTGAATTTGTACAAAATTCGACATAATATATATAAAAATTAATTAATATTTACAATAAAGGCTGCTCCGTTACTCTTTGTGTTCAAGTAATATTCAGTGGAAGCTAAATATAGGACATTTTGTTAAGTTTCCAGTAGAAGCTGAATATTACTTATTATGTTTTTGGGCCTTAAATTGTTGTAAGCAAAAGCAGTACTACAATGACTTACGTTACAATTTAAATTATTTTAGTTTTTTTTTATATTTCGTTACTATCACTACGTTTGTATACGTTAATTTGGGACATTTTTTTCATGATTTTTATATTCGACCCGACGTCCATTTGTTAGTAGGTCAATGCACCTTACCTGTTTCTGCCGCCATGCTGGTGAAATTACAGACACATGGGACTTGTCCAGTTATAGTGTCAGGGTGATATTGCCCCCCTATACAGGTGAATTTTTAGTCATCGTCCAAACTTTCATATTATGATCTTTAGTGAAAATATAACATGCGCAAATTTTCCTTTTAGTGTAAATTAATACTAAAATTAAGATATGCCATCGCAAAATTGTTTTAAAAAATTGCGCGCGTGTGGACAGCCTACTCGATATGCGCGCTAGGCCACCCCCCGCGTCATTGATAAAATACATACGTTGCAAAATTTCCAAAAGTTGCAAAAAACGAGAGCGGAAGTTATTTATAAGTAAATTGTTTTAGAGGTTTGACCAAATTTAATGATATTATTACAAAATAATGATAAAAATAATGCACCTGATAAACACACCTAATTAGGAAAGTTCGTTTCCCGAACTTAACTTCTACGCATTTAAAGCGTTGTGTTACCGAAGGCCATCGAAGAATTTACTTATTGAATTTCAAAGTCACTAAAAATTTTACCATGTGTAGAGAACAAAAGAAAATAATCTTTACTTTTGTTTGTGAGACAAACAAATAAAAGGTTCGCTTCCTACGATGAATTGTAACGAATTAGTATTTAGCAAGTAATAAAAAAAAGAATCTTCCCATCGCCCTTTTGTTATCTACGCACGTGGTGTTTTTTATTAGTGAACTAGAAACATTTTATAATAATATCAATAAATTTAAACAAAACATCGATTTACGACAAATGTAGTCCGCACTCGTATCGTACACAGAAGTATAAAAATAAAAGCAGGCCATGCCTTTTGCAATAAGGCGTATTTAAAAAATTTGAATCAACTTATGTACATTTAATTAAAATCAAATAGAAATTACCTTAGCGTAACAACTTTAACAGTATTTTAATAATTGCTCAAAATGTAAACCATTCCTCTCCAAGCAGATTCTTGCACGTTTTTGAATATTGTCTTGTATTTTGTTCAGCACTGTAGTGTCACTTTTCACTTGTGCAAATGCACTTTCAATTTTTAGTTTCAATTCGTTGAGGCTTTGGGCCTCCTCCACATACACGCGTCGTTTAATTTCGCCCCACAAAAAAGAGTCACAGGGTGTGAGGTCTGGTGACCTGGGTGGCCATGGTACCGGACCCCCGCGGCCGATCCAGCGATTCCCGTATTCCATATTTAAATAATTCCTCACGTCGATAGCGTAATGTGGCGGTGCACCGTCATGCTGATAATAAAAAGCAGGATGGTTAATGAGGACTAGCGGTACGTCGTCCATCAAATCGGAGACTATGCTTTGTAGCATATTGAGATAGGTGCCTCCGGTCAGCCGCCCCTCAATAAAATACGGCCCTAGAATTTTATCACCGACAATCCCGGCCCACACATTTGCACTAAAACGCACTTGGTGATAATTGTCTATATCATGTGCGGGTTGCGATACGACCACCAATGTTCATTATGTTGGTTGTACAGCCCCACACGTGTGAATAGGGCTTCATCAGTCCATAAAATGACCGCATCGGGGTGTGCGATCAGCCACTCGCAGAAAACTCGACGAGGCAGCACGTCTGCTGCATTTAGCGTTTGCACTTTTTGAAAGTGATAAGGGTGCAATCCAGAGGTGTTGAGCAGCTTCCACACAGCGTATTGGCTAACGTTGAACCGTCGAGCTGCATCACGTGTACTTCGTCTTGGATCTCTCTCGAAAAAATTGAAGATTTCGTTTTCGATTTCCACGGACAGTCGCGGCCTACCACGTCCTTGGGCGTGTGAAGGCGTCGTAAACTGGCCATGGTCTAAAAGCCTCTGTATGACATGCAGAAACTAGGCTTAGGCTTTCATCACTTATAAAATAGCACTTGACCATTTCAAAGTACTCGCGGTTTGTATACATAGTGACACGTGAATGCGTTTTCAATAGCGAGATAACGTTGCACACACGTACGAAGCGCTACACGGACGTGTGACGACTGAAGTAACAGCCGCCAATAGCGTTCGGCGCGGGCGGCGGCGGTGGCGGCATTTTGCTTTGATTGGAGAATCCGCGCGGTTAGCGTATGGCATTCATTCATAGACGCATAGTCGTAGTAAATAATAATAGTGTAAATTGGTAACCAATTTTTGTCGAGTATTACTTCGGAATAAATATTTTCATTTTGAAAATAAACCTATCAATTTTTTTTCCAAAATGGCTGGAAAAAATTTGGACGATGACTAAAAAATCATCCTGTATATCTTTGCTACTTAAGGCTCTGATTGACACTCGCAACGGCTATGGACAGACGTGTAGCTTACCACCAGGCACACTACTTGTTCGTCCATTGGTATCATAAAACGAAAGATCTTTTCTTATCTCTCATTTGGTATCTTTGTGACAACTTCACGTTTTTTTTTTCAGACAATGGAATGAAGGCAAAGTGCTGCTTTTCGACGATAGCTTTGAACACGAAGTGTGGCATAACGGGACTGCTAAACGGCTTGTCCTAATCGTCGATTTGTGGCATCCTGATCTCACTCCCACTGAAAGACGTACCTTACCCGCTATATGAGTGCCTTAATAGTGTCGTTAGGAATGCATAGTGTTAAAATGAATGAATTTTGATGGATGCTTAATAACAATTTTATATTCCGTAATACATCACTGTTATTAAATACCCTAAATAATCAGTATTCTTTACAGAGAGTTTAAGAACAGATTTAATGTTGTTAATATGAATTTATTGAAAATCACTGCAACAGTGGTTAAATATTGGTGCTAGTCTGTTGACCGATATATTTCTATTCTTTTGCTTATGTATTTATTGTACACATAATAAACTTCAGAACTGTTTCAATATACATAAATCACATTGCCATATATTATAAATAAATACAGTGAATGATATGAAAAACGACATTAAGAAGTAATTTGTTTACAATACTTCGTTTTCCATTTTCCTTTCAAATGCATTTGGTTTTTCGAACTAACTTCTATTTCTGTACTTGTAATTGTAATGTTATATATTTGCAACCATTGTTGTATTTGTAAGATTCTCATTGTACTTTAAGGTTTATTGTTAATAAATACACTTTGATGCTCGATTTAAAATGAGTGTTATTTCTATACATAATCCATTAGCAACCAAGAAAGTCACAAACACCAACAAGACATTGACTGTGGTTACAGAAACAATTTAATTATCGGATACGATAATAATCTTTGATTACCTCACAAAAAAAGGTTAAAAATAAAACTCAAGAATGATTGCATAGGTGTGTATATTTGGTATAAAAATCGCCTGTAGTTTGGCTCAAATATAACCAATTATAATTAACTTAAATCTAATAAAGCTCGTTTTCTAATTAACTATCAATTATTGGTCCACATTCAGGTAATTCTTACTTGATGCAATCTTTATTGTACACTGAGCTACTGAGAATACTTATACCTACATGCATCCTATATGGTGTTTTTATGTGGTACAAATATCTAAACCTAATTTGTCAAGACTATGTTCTCTTGTATATGATTAGCTACAGTAGACATTTTTTGTTAAAAAATATTACAACACTACTAATGCATTTGCAGTCGTTATTTCGCAAATTTCTCTTAAGCTACTGCAAAGCACTTGCAGTTTACCTGAAGCTGTTAACGCTTTAACGTTAAAAAAATTTTATTAGGTACTGTGACAAATTTGGTTGTAAACAAACATTGTTTGGTAGTAGATGTTACGTGTACATTTAAAAAAAAATAATTTTATATTACGTTCTACATTTTTCATCTAAACGTTCGTTGTACGGACAGAATAACAAACAGTGGTTTTTGTCATAATACAAAATTTCAGATTCACATAATATTAATACTTTGTCAGTCTTAAGACTAATTGCATAATTATTAATTTGCAGAAATGAGTAGTACTTATCACTAAACATAAAAATATGATGGAGCAGCCTTGTATTAAGTATTGTATATTGTTTTGTAAGTTAATACAAATGCTATGGCTGTAAGTCGTAAGTTACATTTCAGGAATAATAAAAAATAAAATAACATTAAAGCTAAATTCCTAACTTAACAGGACATAAGGAATGTATTTTATACATTAAGTACATTTAAATTCATAAATACAACCATAACTTGTCATTTCGATCACATAATAATGAAGATAGAAAATGTAGATTTTAAGACAGGTGTTGAGTTCAGATTCACTGGAATAAGGCACATGGATAATAAAAAGGCAATTTAAGGCACTATAATTAGTAAGCGTCGTTGGAGGGCTGATATGCGGGAGGGCCAGGTGCCTGCGGGGATGCACAGGCGCTGTACGGCGGTGCGGGAGGTGGTGGCGCTTCCCACCCACTCTCTACTCCATAGCCAGCTACTGCCCCGTAACCAGCTCCATACGACGGAGACTCGCAAGGCGTCCTAACATCGTAACTTGCCGATGTTCCGTCATACCCTCTTGTCATATTGTCATATGTCGGAGAATTTGGATCATAATTCCTTGCGGTTTCATAGGCCCTTGGCTCTGCTTTATAAGGCCCGGCGACATCGTACCCCAAATTTTTCACCGGTCGCCTTACTGTATCATATCTATTAGTTATTATAGGAACTGATTCGGTTGGTGGCGGCGGATCATACACGTCTTGTGAACGCGCAACTGCTTCCCTTTCTGGAGCGTGATAAGATGCGGGTCGAGCTGCGTGAAAGTTTGAATATGACGAATGTGCTGACGTAGGCCTAGAAGGTCTCGGTTCTCGTGGAAGAGAGGAAGTCGAAGCTAAATATCCTGCATTACGATACGACCTGCGTGAACGCCGCACAGAGGATCCATTGCCTCGCGATCCAGAACGACGCTTCACTCGCCGCGGCGTCATTGGCTTTAAGGAACTTTCACTCACGTTTGGTTCCGTTGGACTCAATTCTATTGTGTAAACTGGACGTCGTGGTAAAGTGCTTTTGTCTGTAAAATAAAAATTCGCACAATTATAATGAGAGGCTTTGTTCCTTAAAAATGGTCTTTAACAGTCCATTGCAACATGTAAATATTAATAACAACTATAACCCCATAAACTTATTAGATTATATAGATTTAGGTGGCATTTTTCAACTATTATTTTTCTATGCTGGGAACATGAATTATTACCTGAAGGTGGCTTTATCTTCTTAAAGGAACGATATGCCAATAAAATAGCCAGTGGCAATGCTGTCGCAGTGAGGATTGCAGCCACGGCCGATTGTCCCATCTCAACATGATGCCACCTGAGGAAGCAGCCATCAACGCGTGTAGGTCGCCATACCCCTGGTCCATCTATTTCACTCCACACGGGCTGGCAGCCCCAACCATTGCCTTCCCACCAACTTACACTGCCTGTACCCAGAGAAAGGAGTCCACTCTCCTGCAAATGTAAATCATTTTTATTTTACACTAAACCGTGTGTCGATGTAGCTCTAGGTAGCCTTGATTCACATGGAAGGGATGTAATAAATGCTATATTATATACCTTGCATTACGATAAAACTACAACTTGGGCAAATGCTGCCTACTTTTATGCATTTTACTTACTGTACATTCATTTACTTATGTTGTACCATAACAGGTTCCATGCTTAAATACATAATTATTAAAAGCCTGATAGAATGCGGCCTCACTGGCCCAATGATTTGCACTGTGGGTGCCTGATGAAGAGGTCCTAGGTTTGATTCCTATTAGAACCAACATGAAAAATTATTATTTATCAATTGGATTTGGTTTGGGTACCTCAGTGAATTCCATTGTCAAACAATAATTGTTGTTGTCTAACACATTATTATTAAGAATATTGAAACAAACAATCTGTTGACTGGAACTATTAGAGTAATTAAAAATAAAGCGTGAAAAACACCGAGTGCAGGTCGGGCGCGTGTCGGGTCGGGAGCGCGGTAGGCATAATTCCGCGTGCTATGATTACAAAACATCGATATTTTCGATATATCGACACCAGAAGTATCAATTAATGTAAGGGACAAACCACGGATTTTCAGGAGAGCCAAAAATAATTTTTATTTTTTTAAATACTTTTTTTACTGTCTGCTCCAATTTTGATTGTGTCTAGAGCAAAGTTTCTTAAAATTTCTTCTTTCATGCTATAAACGAAAGATTTAGGAATGTCCAGTGGTTTAAAATATACCATGTCCCTTACACTAAAAAAAGATGTTTAGTTGTGCCTTACGTTACTAATATTTCGTGTGTAGACCGTCGAGCACAGTGTAAGCAGGAAGAAAAATAGAAAATTATATGTAATTCTATTTTAAAGGATCTTTTACAATACAATTTTTCTATTTCTTTTCATGCTTACACTATGCTCGACGGTTTACACATAAAATATTAGTATCTTAAGACACAACTAAACATCTTTTTTTAATATTTTTTATAGAAGTGGCCCTCAAAGACAAATCAATCTGCCTAGGCACCTTTATAGATATTGAAGGAGCCTTCGATAAAATCAACTTCTCCAGCATACAATCAGCACTGAGAAGACACGAAGTGGATGAAGTGCTAATCAGCTGGATTAGCAACATGCTGAAACAAAGAACAATAAAAACAACAGCAAATGAGACCTCATGGGCCATAGTAGCGAAGAGGTGCCCTCAAGGAGGGGTGCTGTCGCCTCTGCTGTGGAACATGGTCGTAAATGACCTCATCATTAAAACTAAACAAAGAACATTTCTGTACAGTAGGATATGCTGATGACATAGCTATACAGGTAACAGGAAATTATGCCAATACACTCTGCGACATTACACAAGCTGCACTTCGGATTGTGGAAAGATAGTGCAGAGCATACGAACTATCGGTAAACCCAGCATAGACGGAACTAGTAATGTGTGCAAACAAAAGACTACTGGGTAACTACCTACTACCCAAACTCGTCAGTACAGAACTACAGACATCAACCGAAGTCAAGTACTTGAGAGTAATACTGGACAACAAGTCAACTGGAACAAGCATCTGGATAACAAGTTAAAAAAGCTACTATCACCTTCTGGCATGCCATAGAATGGTAGGTAAACAAAGGGGACTTTCACCCAAGACAACGCTATGGCTCTACACAGCGGTGATAAGACCCATGATCAGTTACGGCGCGATAGTATAGTGCCCACGAACCAAACTGACGACCGCAACCGACAAGCTGGACAAATTCCAAAGACTCGCTTGCATGGCGATGACCGGCTGCATGAGGACAACTCCAACTGCGGCCCTCGAAGCGACGCTGGAACTGCGACCCCTCCCGCTATTCATCAGACAGGAAGCTGCGTCAACAGCAGTGCGTCCAAACAGAGCCGGCCTTTGGAAGCACATGAGGACCCGTCATACAGAAATCCTTTATAAGACTGTCAATGAGGAATCGCTACTGGAGGCGGCTGTGGATAGAGTCCCAAAACAATACATCTTTGACAAAAAATACAAGATACAATTGTTTGAAGAGACCAACGAAGGACTGAACCCGAGAGTGGTCCGCGTCTTCACTGATGGATCTAAAACAAATTCAAGAACAGGTACTGAGGTATTCTCAGAAGATTTCAATATCAGGATATCAACACTGCTTGGTGACTACAATACAGTATTCCAGGCTGAATGCATGGGCATCAAGTTGGCGGCAGAAGCAATCATAGCGAGAAGAGTAAAGAATCACTCCATTCGAATACTCTCTGACAGTATGTCAGTACTTCAAGCACTGAACAGCTTTATTTAGACTCAGGGCTCATTTATGAATGCCCTCAAGCACTCATGGAGGTATGTATACAAAACCATGTAACTCTACAGTGGATTAAAGGACACAGCGGCACACGTGGCAATGACAGCAGATGAACTAGCCAGAAAAGGGTCAGCGAAGGACGCTGTAGGACCAGAACCACAAATCCCTCCCCTACCAATGGTCCAGAACAACTACATATAAAGGTACAAAATCTTCACATAATAATACATGGACCACACTTACGGTTTGTAGACAGGCGAGGGAAGCACTCCCAACACTCAATGCCAGTCTATCTCGAATTTTAATTAAACTCAAAAGACAAGAGCTTCGCACTCTAACTGCCGCCCAAACGGGTCATGGTCCATACAATAAACACCTCTTCAATTTAGGTATCACAGACAGCCCTCTGCAGAGCGTGCATGGAGGGCGAGGAAACGGCTGCGCACATCCTACTACAGTGCTCCGGCGTGACCAACTACAGGGCGAAGTACCTTGGAGTGCCAAGGTCGCTCTCCGAAGTCTTCAGCAAACCAAGGAGGCTGCTGAGATTGAGTGGCACGAGTAGGACCTTGCACCCACCACACGCAAAATAGGCGCCTGACGTCGAGTTGCGGACACCAGCCCGTAACACCAAGTACCAAGTAAACCACTGGGAATTCCTAAATTTTAATAATACCAATCAATAGAACAGGAACTTCCGAATTCGAAGATACATGTAACTCATTTTCACAACCATTGACTTACAATTATATGGACGTCGGGTCCGCGCTAAAAAGTGTCCGAACTTATAGGGCGTTAAACTCGTATACAGAGCGTCATTCACGCTCTAGTCTTCGTTTGTTCGACTGACAGTGAAGCAAGCAAAATTAGACAGTACTGCGATGACATTACAATTTAAATTCAACATTTTAGCTTTTTCATATTCCTTGACATGTCACTACATTTAAATAATCATCAAGTCAACCGACTTGGGACATTTTTTTCGTGGTTTTTGTATTAGACCTGTCGTCCATTTATTCGTAAGTCAATGTTCACAACAGACTAAATGTCCCTTACATTAATTGATACTTCTGGTATTGATATCGTAAATAATTCAAAAAGATAAAAGGAAGGAAATTTTACTAAGAGTAAATAAGTAAACCACCAGTTTCGACACAACAATCAAATGTATTCATTTTCATTGGCCAGCTGCACACATACAATATTATTGTCCCTGTTATTGTGTGTGTGGGCTAGCCCATGAGAACATAACCACTACGTTACACTGATGGAGGACCAGCGTATCAGCTCTCAAAGTATGTTTCATTTCTGCAAGCACAATTTTGAATTGTGTACTTTCAACTTTATACAATTTTACATGTATTGGATAAAATATATCAATAGTACATATGGATACCAAATGATACAATAATATGGGATTGATATCGAGGGAATATATTGATATTTTTTTGAATTATATATCGAGCACTCCTAAAGACACCATGCTTGGGCGCGAGACGGGCGCACACACCCAAGCGTGGAACAAACTCTTGTGTTTCACTCTTAAACAATTATAACATAGCATTAACATGATTTTTATATTCACTTACCCTATTTAGTGACCCCAAATTGAGATAATAGCATAATAAGAAGACATTCCAGGTTAACCACATGAAGCTCCATATAGCATACTGAAAACAATTTGTCACATGTTGAAAATAAGAAAGCAAATTGTAATGTAGTGTAAATTGGAATATGTTAAATTAAAAATTAGGTAAACTGTTTGATATAATAAAATTATATATGATATAAACAAAAAAGTTTTGATTCCGATGTGTAACAATTGCAAAACCTTAGAATGTACTATAACAAAGCTTGCCACCCAATGAAGTCTGTTTACCTGTTAAACAAGCATAGTTATATCTATATATTTAAAAGTAATATACTCAATTTATTACTTACAGCCAATAGATATTTTGTTATATACTGCACGGCTCCAAAAGAGCCAAATATGATCATCAAAATGTTGACAAAATTAGCTATTATAGGCAACCACATGTACCCAAGGAAGTCAAACACCTGGCGCTGAATAGTTACAATCTGAAACAGGGTAGGTTTTACAAGCAATTTAGTTAAAGTTCTTTACAACATGTTCGCAATTAATTCTAGAGGATAACAATGCTCGGAGTTATAATAGTAAGTACGTTTAACGGCACCTTTCACATCTTGAAATACAATTGATAACAAATTACACCTTCGGCACATTTGTCTGGAAGACGTAATTATTTAAATTGGCCGTATCGAACACTGCTTCTTAGCCATTTATACAAGACATGCATCACAAGAATGTTGATGATTCAGAAGGTAAAAGTGTTACATACCAACTCGATAACACAAACGATCAACAACAAAGTTCGTAACGTGCAAACAGCCATGTCGCCGGATAACGTAAACTTTAACACTTATTATTATATAAATTTTCGTATACAAATAATCGATTTTAACTTAAAAACATCCATGATTTTACTTAAAAAAATTAAAATGAGTAAAGAAAACAATCATACGATTTCCGTTTTTTTTTACACAAAAAATTTTGACATTTTACTTTTTTCGAAAGTGAGCGCTGTAGGCATGTAATCTTGAAATAAACAATCAAGTTTTATGTAAATACTTCTTATAGCATTCAGCGTCACGACAGGATACTAATGTTATGTAGACATGACAATGAGACATGACAAGTTTTTTATGTCACGGTAAATAAAACTTCAAAACATCTTCAAAAGATATTTATAGACGTAGAACATCCGAACGTATTTACCTTAGACTATGGAAACTATTTTTTTTCGATCCTCTAAGGTATATACAGTCAAAAGCACGTCAAAAATATTTATCCTTTATTTTTTCATCCTCTAAGCGCAGAACAGCCGAACGTATATACGTGAAGAGCACGTCAAGCTTGACACTTTGTACTTTGGACCATTCTTATCGCAAGCGGCATAGAGTTGAATTTAAATCTTAAGTGTCAAGCTTGACGTACATCCTGTACAGAGTCGGGAGCATGTCAAGCTTGACACTTGACAAGATTTAAATCCAACTCTATGCATGCCGCTTACGATACAGCGGTCGAAAGTACAAAGTGTCAAATTTGACGTAATTTTGGCTAGACAAATCAGCCTTAGATTTTTTTTTTATGTACCAATTTTTCGGAATATTTTCCCGAAAAATTTCCACTAGAACTATAATTGGAATTTTTCGGAAAATTACCCAAACAGTCACGACATTATTTGATTAAAGTGGAAATAAAACCAAATGTCACGACGACATCATACACGAAGAGTGTTGCAGTATCCCCCGATTTTACGGGACATTACTAATTTTACTCACCTATAGAGTTTAATGCTGTATAATAGTCGATAACAATGTGACAAATAAGGATATAATATTTAATTTTTTAATTGTTAATTTTGTATTTTATAAATATCATTTTGACTATATACTATTTTCACTTTTTGGGTAAGTAAGTTGAACACTTATTTATGTCTGAAAAATTATTGTTGATTTATCTATTTATCCCTCTGGAATAAGTGTAAATTCCAATAGTTTCTCATAATTTTCCATTTACAATTTTTATAATATAAGATTAAAAGTGAAGAGTTATAATTCAATCTAGGCAGTTAAACTATACAAACTAATTTAAAAACTAAATTACATCGCTATTTAGAAAACGTGTCCATCAAAAAGCTTTGATAGATATTGCTGTGATAAAAATAAGTATTATTAATATTAAATTGTATAAAAAGTATGTATTTTCTTATTATTACTAAATATGCAACGTGAGAAAAAAAACAAATATAGAAAAATAACACCACATTTTTTTGGTCTGTTAAAAAATTTTAACATTATCCAATAATTTGTAACGCGCGGTTTACTCAAAGTAAAGTCAAAGTCAAATCATCTTATGCAAATTGAAATCGTCACACTGATTAAACTCTACTGCTTATTCGTAAGTAGTAATTAAAATCGGCTCCTCGAGCTACCTGGTGCCTGCGCGACGCAAGCGAACGCATAGCTAGTAGTTTTGATATTTGCAAACCGGATACAAGTCGTGACGACTAAAATCAAACATGATTATGAATACAAAGATCGGACATAATTTTTTTTTTTTTATTGCTCTTACCAACTGAGCTACGGGTTCAGTTACCGAGCGGTCGAAATTCTTCTATGTGTTTTTGTATAGATTTTCGTACTGGCTTTCGGTATTCGTCGCCGCTAGTGACATCTAGTGAGAGATTTTATGTTATATTTATTGAGATTTTTCTGAAATAATTCCACTATTTTTGTTGTGATTATGAATACAAAGAATGAACACACAGAAAAATTTTTTTTTTCGTCGACCCGGTGGGACTTGAACCCACGTCCTTGCTGCACCGTAGCATTGCTCTTACCAACTGAGCTACGAGTCCAGTTACCAAGCCGTCGAAATTCTCCTATATGTTTTTGTATAGATTTTTGTACTGGCTTTCTCATGGAAGTGGACAATCAAACATTATTGATGCATTTAACGCTTTAAAAAGTGACCGTATAGTGCTTCGAAAATTACGAAGGTACGTTATTACAAATGAATAAAATACCAGGAACAACCACAACAATTACCCTATCCTACCGGGAATCCGAATTCGAGTTCGGTCACCAAGGTCAATAAACTCGCGCATTGACTCCGCCCACTTTTCCTATGGCAACGGTGTCTATTAGTTGTCAGGTGTCAATATTATTCACAATTTCTCAGAAAACTTTGGGACGTCATAACTTATTTGTCAAGTTTTCGAAATTAAAATCTACCATGTTTTTTTATTTTTAATAACAGTATGCTCCTTTAAATTAGTCAGTGGTTTTTTTTATCATGTGTAATAATTGAAAAAAAAAGTATTTTACCTTTAACTCAAGTAGAAAAATCTCTCAGGTAATACGTCTTTGGACATCTCCCCCATTTTCCCTTTGAGTAGCTAAGCTACATTTCATGGTGTCAAGCATTGACTTACAAATAAGTCAATGGTGTCAAGGGTATATATTTAAAACAGATTTATTGTTTCTATTTTTCTTATTTCTCTTGGCTTTTCGCGGTGAGCGTTTTAGCCACATACAGAGTGTTTTGACTGACATGATTTTAAAACGGGGAAATTTTTATTTCATGGAATGTAATTTGGAAACGGGATTTGAAAGTTGGAGAAAAAGTGAAAAAGGGATCAGAAATTATGAGATGTAAATAAACAAAATGGTAAAAATATTTATTTTTTATTACAGTAGTTAAATCTTTATATTATTTTCTAAAATAAATTTTGATAAGTAAGTATATACCTAGAAGAGTTATTGGACAACAATAAAAGATGGATGGAAGTCGAAAGAGGCACATGGGATTGGATAAGATTCTGGATAAGAGAAGAACGATCAAATTTTGGGCAATTAAAAAAAATGTGATTTAAGTCGCCAATTTCAATGCAGTCACACACATCGTCAACAACTATATTGAATCTGGCAAGGTGAACGGGAGTGCATACGTGACCTAATCTCATACGAGTCAATATGCTTGTTGCCACTGGCCACTCTGTTCAGTTTTAGGGTCGTATTCCAGAAGTCTACTCAATGCTCAAGTCAGGATTGCACTGGAAACATAAGCACTGGAAATACGACCCTAATGGCAGGGACTTGAGTATGATTTCGAGTGCTTTAAACCATACTTAAATCCTGACTTGAGCATTGAGTAGAGTTCTAGAATACGACCCTTAGTTTAGAAAACCACGGGTTCACTGGTATTGATGGTTGGATATGATATAAAATCTACCTTTGTACCGAGAGCTCTTTGTCCATGCTTTATTCCAATTATTTCTAAGAAATATCTTGGAAAGTGTGTCCAGATCATGGTTATAAATATTGTATAATGAGCCATGTCCCCGCAGATGATAGCATTATGTTTTGTTTACAACTTTTAAAATATCTCGACTTTTCCCTATATTTTGGCTATATTTTTGCGGTATTATTATTTATGGGTTTGGTAACACTGTACATGAGAAAACGAATCGTTAGTCAGCACTTCAGCAGATTTGTCCGATGAATTTCTCCTATTTCCACGAGTTTCTACTGCATTGATTGACTTTCAATATCTAAACCGGGTTAATTTTTTACCGAAGAAGTGAGTTGTACATTTTCGCTTGTGATAAACAGTGAAAATAGATTATAAAGCACCGGTAACCTCTCTTGTCACTCTTTGTTTCAGTTTGTATTTTGAAGAGATGGGGACCGACATCTTAATTCCGCTGGAATCTAACCCTGACGTGATGAATAAGTTTCTTCAAAAACTAGGCGTGCCATCGGAATGGAACATTGTGGACGTAATGGGGTTAGATTCTGAGATGTTATCATGGGTACCTCGCCCAGTTCTTGCTGTTCTGCTACTATTCCCTGTTTCCAAATCCTACGAACAATATAAAGAAAAAGAAGAAAAGCTTATTTTGTCTAAAGGCCAAGATGTATCTATTGATGTTTTTTATATGAAGCAGCACCTGAGCAATGCTTGTGGAACTATTGCCCTTATGCACAGTGTGGCCAATAACACTGACAGAATTATACTTCGTGATGGACCCATGAAAGCTTTCCTAGAAGAAGCCAAACCTCTTGATCCAGTTGCTCGAAGCAAATTGTTGGAAAAGACTGAAAGTATTATCAATGCTCATAAAGAACTTGCACAAGAAGGTCAAACTAGGACTCCAAGTGCAGAAGAGCCTGTAAACCATCACTTCATTGCTTTTGTACACAAGGATGGTATGCTGTATGAGTTGGATGGCAGTAAGTCATTCCCCATAAACCATGGGCCTACTACACCAGATACTCTGTTGGAAGACGCTGCTAAAGTATGCCAGGAATTCATGGCTCGTGACCCCAATGAGATGCGGTTCACTGTAGTTGCTTTGACTGCTGCTGATTAAAATTCCCACCAGTATATTTATGTGTGGTAATTACGTAATACGACTAGTCTGGCAAGCGGTGTGCTTTACTGATTCAAGCTTAAATTCATTCATGTATTTAATATATGCAATGCTGAGCAATAAACTTTATTTATTTTGAACTATTGACTATTTTTTCAACTTGAACCTTGTTACTTTGTAAATGCTAATGTAGGACTATATTGCAATTTTTTTAACATTGATTACTTATTCATACACAAATAAAAGAAGGAAATCTACTTTTAATGATCAATTTATTTTGCATTAATACAATGTTGAATATTTTCAGATCAGTTATTGCACTTGATTAAAAAGAATTAGAAAACTGATTACAAAAATAGTTCACATAACACAATAAAAACTATTGCTGGACAATCTTGTGGAAAAAATACATTTTTACAATTTTTTCCTAAGTATATTACAACTTTTTTCTGAAAAAAATCACCATTTAAAATTTTTCTGACATTTACTCAACACTAACAATAAAATATTTACTAGGTACAGAAGAAAAGTTTGGTCATGATAAAAATAACATCTTTTTCTGCAGTGAAAGGAATTTGGTATTAAACAGTTCAAGAGCGGCTACTGCGAAAGCCCTGGTTTGAGGACAGCACGCTTTCTAGAAATACATTGGTCTTGACTTTTAGTCGTCGTGCTGGCCACATTCCCTTAAATAAATCATCTATTAAAAGAGCGGAATATCCATAAAGTCAATTTTGTAACAAACTCGAAGATATGCTACATTTTATGGAATTTGACCATAATGTGGCATTTTAAATTAGGAGATATAATATATTTTATGGTAGATTGGAGAGTTAAATGTTGTGCTACGTGACCTGTTGGCAGAGGGCTAAAACTCTGTACTCATATGTGACATCTTGCTTCCCTATGGGGTGACACGAGAGTAGAATAATCAACGGGGAAGCGTGTGTTATTCCACCTCCGCGCGTGCAAAGGTCTTGAACAGTCTATGAATACACGTAGTCACAGTATGCCCAAGGAATTAGCCGGTACACCCTCATCTTCAGTCTGAGTCTTATCAGTGAGGGCGCGAAGTGATCAACATTACCTAAACAAGGTCAACCAAGCACCGATGTTGGTGCTAGCACCACACCAGTAACAGCGGCAGTGGCCCGAACCCCTGGTTCTGCGGCGCCCGTGCACACATCAATGCAGAACCCCACAAACAGCTCTTGTGCCAGGGTTGACCCTAGAGAGTCGCAAGCCCAAACCCAAGGCACCCATCCATAGGGAAAGGGTAAGTAGTCACGGCGAGCAACCACCTCCAGCCCTCAGTGGGAGCAGAGGACGCCCTGCCCGCAAGAATAAGAGAAGTCGTCTCAGGGAACGCGAGCGCCTCAAAAACACAAACAACCCCCGGCCGAAGGAGGGAGAGGTGAGGCCTCTAGTGGATGGCAGGAGTGGACTGAGAGTGCACCAGTACGGTCAACAGGATGAGTTGCGAACCCACCTGGAGGGCCTCCCCCCACCTTCCTTCTAGGAGCAAACCAATAGCATATCAGTACTTCAAGCACTGAACAGCTATGACATATACTCAGGGTATATTTATGAATGTCATCAAGCTTTCATCGAGTTATGTATACACAACCATGTAACTCTATTAGTGGATTAAAGGACACAGCGTCTCATGTGGCAATAACGCAGCAGATGGACAGGCCAGAAAAGGTCGAAAACGGACGCCCCTGTACCAGAACCTATGGTATCCCTCCCCTACCAATGGTCAAGAACAACACATACACAAAGGTACGAAATCTTCTCACATTTAATAACACATATTCAGCCAATTCTCACGGTTTGTAGACAGACTAGGGTTAACTCCCAACGCTCAACGCCAATCTATCTCGCAGATTAATCAAACTTAAAGGGCAAGAGCTTCGCACTCTAACTGCCACCCTAAAGGGTCATGGTCCTTACATGAAACGGTTGCGCACATCCTACTACAGTGCTCTGGCATGGACAACTACAGAGCGAAGTACCTTGGAGTGCCGAGGTCGCTCCCCGAAGTTTTCATCGAACCAAGGAGGTGGCTAAGATTCCTGTGTATTGCGGTAACTAAGGGTGACACGAGTAGGACCCTGCACCCACCACACGTAAAATAGGCGCCTGGACGTCGAGTTGCGGACATCAGGCAGTTACACCAAATACCAATCCACAGGGACCAGGCATCACAAGGCCAACATTGACACCCGAGTGTTACAGGCCTTATTAAAAACAAGTTAAAAAAAATTCTAATCACTTGGAACAAAGTCTACGAAATACAATAGAATACTTAAATAGATCTTGAGTGTAAATACATTTTAACTTAAGAGAAACATGCCGCTTTTGTCATTATATATAATATCACAAGTAATAAATTCTGCTAAGCATACGTGGAATGTTTTTCTAAATACGTGTTTGTTATATTTAAAATATAATCATATATTTGTTGGCGATTCTACATTTTCCTCTTCATTGTTTATGGATGAATCTGTAATAAAAAAACACAAGTACAAAATTATATAGGTATGTTCTGTCTGTGTACATACATAAGCTCACGTCCTTGTTCTATAGGAGGGATAGGCAGAAACCACGGAATACAACCGCCAGTGTATGGTCTGTGTATAATTAAATATACGTATGATTAAGAAGAAGAAAAAGTATAGACCCTTTCAGTTTTTGTAATGTCGATGTCGTACAAAATTGGTATCGCATTATCGTACTCCACAGAAGAAATTATATTTTGTTTCTGGCAATGTAAGTAAAATAATATAAACAACACTGTAAGTCAATGTCAACTTTCTGTTTCCGCAGAATTCAACTTTGCAAGTGTACGTGTCTACGTGTCTACCATGTGTCAACGAAAATAACGCAACAAATTACCTATCTAAAATCAATGGCAGGAGTTATGTCGTAGCACCAAAGATATTTAGTGTTAAAAAATCCTGTGAGACCAGACATTTTGAATGAATCTTAGCGTGATAATGCGCAAGTGATGCGTTTCATGCATTCCATAATAGCAATAACTAATTATTTAAATTTAATTTTGAAAAACACTGGTGGAAAAAAACTGGTGAAATTAAAGGCACATGGGAGTAGTCAACTTGTCTCAAGGTGACGGGCGCAGTGATAGTGCCCCTCGGAGCTTTGCGATTTAAAGTTCTGAGTGGCATTGTAACTGTTAAGGACAGGCGTGTAGCTTACCATCAGGCGCATGACGTGTTCGTCCCGTCACTTGTAATTATAAAAAAAAAAGAATGTTAAAATGTATTATTTGCTAAGTTACATTCGAAATGCCTGGTCTGACAGGATTTTTGAAAACTACTCTCTGCCTTTCCGAATTTGAGGCCTTAATATTTAAAATGGGACCTAGTTAAACAAAAAGGATCCAGTCACTTTCGAGATATGGCAGTTTAAAGTTTATCGCACTCTTGTTTTATTTTCAAAACTTGATGTCATGTAACTCCAGAGATATTTATTTATGTTTATATGTTTGTTTTTGTTAGGTTAGACTTTAGGAACCGTTTTTTTTTTGATAAATTTTTATGGTTTGGATCCTTTTCGCTAACTGCGTCCAATTCAACTCTTAACGCTTGCGATAAGAACAACGAGTACGAGCAAAATCGACTCTGTTTTAAGTAGTCGTTATACTATACTGTGAAAATGGCTTAAAGAGGCAGAAATATAGGAAAATGAGACATAGTTGCACATGTAAAATGCAAATATTTACATAGTTTCGGTAAAACAAAATGTGGAATCAACAGTTACAAACAAATTAACGTGGATAACCACGGTATAGGTATTTGTAAGAAATATTTGAATTGCATTTATTCGAAAACTAAGTTTTTGTGAAATAATTGTTTTTCTCACATGCGATAAACAGGGTAGGTGTGGTAGTTCTGCGAATACTTAAATCGATTTATCGTGTTGATTTATCCCTGTTTGAAATTCTTGAATTCGCACACCTTACTACTGTTAAATTTTTTTTGAGATTATACAGAGTGTAACAGAAAGGTCATTATTATTTTATTTCCCACTATGTTATTTACGGAAATTACAGGTCGTAAAATTTTGATCAGCTGATCACTCCCTAAATTCGAAACAAACTTTGCACTGTTACAAAACTGTTTAGTAACTCATATTCACATCAACTAACCAACGAATATGTTAAGATTGAACCTTTAACGGTGATAGGTTCTTACGACATTTTTTGTTTAATTTCAATGTTATATTTAAAGACACTGTTTTTGTTCGTACCTATTCTTTTTCATCGGATGGGAATAAGTCCAATTTTTTCACGTCAAATGTCAAGAAATTTGGTGCATTAACAAACGGGTAATAGGGGTGTACAGATACAAGTGATAAAACTATAATGGTTCCTAGTATGACTAAGAAACCCTGAAAATGCTGGTTCTTACCTGCGATTAAAGCATTAGAGGTGAGTTTAGGCAGCAAAAGTGTTAAGGTCAACCCTAACATACATGCACCTCCACATACCCAAGACAGTGCGTCACGATAATATGTTGACTCAGCCTCTTGTGCACTGTAAAAATATAATTTAATTTTCAATTTAACACATGGCAATGACTCAGCAGTAGTTTCATCTATTGTTGAATGAATGAGTAATATTCATAATTTTATTGTGAGTTTATATGACTCATTATTTCATTATAATAAGCAAGTACATAGCTGAACTCCCATCCGACTTGAGTAACTCTGTGTTTTAGTGATCCGAGCTCTATAAAAGATGTTCCGAATTCCATTCATGGCTGCATCAATTTACGCAACGAAGTAGTCAATGAATGGGTTCTAATATGTGTGCTCTAGGTACTCTTATCTTATCTTTATGGACTTATCAGTTATCACAGAGAGAGCCAACATAATAATAAACAGAGATCAACAAAAAAAGAATGTTCTTACTATAATTGAATCACAGCAATCGCTACTCCACACGCCAACTTATCACTAAAACTCATTAGGCCGTAGACAAAGGCTGACGCTTCAGTTCTCGAGCCTACTAAATCTGCTGTGAGAGCTAGACTTGTTACTAACATAATTGCTCCACCAAAACCTGAAAATAAAAAAATCTTATTAAAAATTTTGGCGAGGAAACCTGACATAATAATTTAAAAAGGTAGCAGACAACCACACCCATTACCTGGTCTCAAACTAGGGAATCCCCTGTACTATGAGTAACAGACCAATGGAATGCACCCCGGAGCCCTACCCAGAACACCTAACGCGTTATAGAAAATTTCATTTCCCAAATTGATCCTACAGGGAATCGAACCTCCTCATCTAGCGGCCACATTGCAAACCATTGGTCCATCATCGTTGTTCAGAAGTGTCATGAAAGAGTTACACAAGATCGTAAATATTAAAAGTAAAAATTCATAAAATCTTAGTCAGGATTTAAAAAAATGTGAAAATAGGGTCAATAAACTCACCTATAAGTACAGCAACAACATAAATAAAGTCGTTTTTATATGTACTGCCAGATCCGAAATAAATCCAAATAAACCCACTTGCTGCACAAGCCGCGCCAATGAAGTAGTTGAATTTTCGCGTAAATGATCGTGGAGCCAATCTTTGAACGCCTGCGGCTGTTAAGCTGCCAAGATACATAGCGAGTGGTACAACAGCGAGCGCACGAGCGGCCAGACCGAGCGTACGATGTAGGTACAAAGGAACAAGAACCTGTGCCACATTTACTGTGAGTCGCGTACTCATGTATATTCCTCCTATCTGTACAAGCAAAAAGTTACAAAATTATTATAAAATGATATTACAAACTGATATCATCACATCTTTATCTATATATATATACTTATTTTAGAAAAATATGTATAGTATATATATTCTAAAATAAGTACAATTTGTCCAAATAGCTGCGGACGCCTAGTGATTTGACCTACCGCCTCTTGAGCAAAGGATGGTGGGTTCGAATCTGGGCTTCCACCGCTTAATTTTTCTGAATTTATGTGCGAAATTTTATTTTAATGAAAACAACGCGAGGAAATCTGCACACATCTGCAAAATAAATTAAATGATGCGTGTGAAATTCCCAATCCGCAATGGATCTGTGTGGAAGTTACAGCCCGAGCCCTCACATTGTAAGAGGAGGCTTGTGCCCAGCAGTTGGGACTATACAGGTTAAGTATCCATCTCACAATGAGTCCATAATATGATTTTGCTAAAATCTCCATCAGGTAAACTGTTTGAATGATTTAAAGTAGAACTTTTTAAGTTAGGTAATATTTGTATATGTGTATGTATCTAATGATGAGATGAACAAGTTACTTACCTGATATAATAATGGCTTGCGTAAAAAGTCACCATGTGCACCATTATTGTTATTGTTAATTAAGAACTCTTGACGTCTATATGGCTTTTCATGTACCATGCAGTGAAATACAATAGTAGCCAGTACACCAATTACTAATACTATATATACAATATTCTTAAACTTCCATGCGTCTGTTGGCCCCACTTGCTGAAGCAAACATGAAACAAACAATTAACTTACATAATATATATGTACGTAGATATATAAGATTTTTAAAAAATATATTGAATGAAAATTTACCAATTTTGTTGTAAAACAATTATCAATTCGACGGCTCCACTAAATTGAGCTGTGTAAGTTGATAATATGTTAATAGTCACATTTACATTTATATAGCAACATAATCGTGTAGCTAATCATTTATAAACCTATATCAAGTTTTTAATAGTGAATCGCATTTTGCAAGTGTAAAATAAAATACATGTTTTTAATTAATCTAAATTGTATAAAGTCATTTGTAAAATTGTTACAATAATAATAGTGTCATAAAATTGTAAAAAATAATAAAATAGCCATAATCATTGTAAAAAAAAAATCAAATAAAATATTGCGTCCGAGTTTAAGTAATAATTTCACCCACGTTGTCCCCTCCGCACTACGGAGGCTTTGTTTTCGCCTTGTTGGTCTGCGCTACTGCTTTCATAATCGCCACACAGAAATCGGCAAATTTCGGTCCTGAACGCTTCCTGCCAGGAGGGCGCTCTATATCGAGGTTGAGAGTTTCTCGTCGACCTCGAGTTCGAGCTTCAACCTGTTGGCACCGAATACGGGGCATTCGTTCAGGGCATGTTCGAGCGTCTGTGCTGCGTCTGGGGAGCACATGCATCTAGGGTCATCGCAGCATCTGAACCGATAGAGGTACGCGGCGTTCCTGCCGTAACCAGTCCAGGCCTGAGTCAGCCAGTAAGATACGCCAATTTTCCCGATAACTCGGTACGTACACCTGGCATATGTCCGGAAAAAACAGTTTGGTGATGCTGCCTTTTGCGGACGCAGAATACTCCTCTTGCCAGGCGTCCCGCGTTCGTTAGCGTATCACCCGTCTGGCGTACGAAAGAGGGAAACTGTCGCAGTCCGCAACCGTTTTCTAATAGAGGGCAGCATGTTTGGCGAACTCGTCCGCGCGCTCGTTGCCGACGTCAGCGCGTACCCACCAGAGCTTGACACTGCTACCCTGCTCGGCCGCCCGCGATAGACTCCAGAGGGTGATTTACCAGCAGCTGTGGAGGAGGCCACTGTCAAGGGTCTAATGCTGTCAGTGACCTCGAATGCTATCATCTTCCTCACTGCATCGATATTTTTTTTTTAAGCGGTTCACAAAACTGGATACAATTCAAATTTCAGATAAAAGTGTTTGGTTGATATTATGTTACAAGAAGAATGTACCCTACTAGACGTGAACACAACATGCGAATTGAGAAAATAAATGCTTAAATAATAATATTAATTAAATTACAGTGATTATACACTTGTCTCTGAAGAAAACAGGATAACAAAAACACATAGTGCACTTAGCTTTTAAGGCAATTTCTAATTGAGTTCCTAGCTGAGGCCTCAGAACCAAAGAATATGTCAAAATCAAATCTGACAGCATTGTACGAGGAGCACATACGATAAAGCGGACAGTGTTGACCAAGATTCGTCTTACAATTAGGAAGCGAGAAAGTTTTACGATTATGTAGGCGGCTACCGGGACGGTGGACTGACAGGCGCAAACTCTCAAGGATATCAGGTGCGTCTATAAAACCATGAATAAGTAATATCCTCGATGATGCAGTGGTTCTGTGCTACGAGGTCCCCTAGCACCGACAGCCTGGCGTTGAGGGCTGCTGAGTGCAACTTCACCAAGTGGGCCACTTCTTTTGCTCGATCTGCCCTCAACCGTTCCACGTCACACTCATGACGTGACGTCATGAGTCTGAGTTGAGTGTCCGGGCGCTATCCACAGCTTTTTTAGCTGTGCCATGAAGGTGCCTCGCGCCGGAATCTCGCGAACAGGAACTTCGTCCGCGAAACTAGCGAGGCTCTTCTGTGCCTCCTCCAGAGCTTCTTCCTCACCAGGCCAGACTGAGAGAACAGGCGACTCGATCGACCCCGCTACGCTCGACTCGACTGATTGTGGAGTAGATTGAGTCGGAGTGGTGACACCTCTGGCGACTTCGGAGTCGAAGAAGCCGGCGAGTTTGGCAGGGAGAGGCTCTTTCGTTCAGAGATTATTTTGTTTGGCGAGGGTCCAGGGAGAGTCGGTGTGGATGCCTTCTTTTTCTTCGTTTTCTTCTGGACCCCGCTTGGTCCCTGCGGTGGTTTAGGCGAACCAGCCAGCTTAGACGAGGCACCGCGGATTTTAGTGAGCGCCTTAGCTGTTTTAGCAATTTTCGGAAGGCCGGTGGGTGTCGAAATTTTTGCCCGGTATTGCCGGAGGTGCGAGATGTCGTTGGATAGGGCTTTCGGAGAGCTATCCAACGGTGTATGGAACGAGGGGGATGCGGTACTAAAAATTTGGAAAAATGTAATAAAAATCGACCCTTACCAGGTCACCCACCTCGATTTTTATTACATCTAGTAGGGGCCCGTTTCACTGAATGCATTGCAACTTGCTTCAATGCTTTGGGTTGTGTCGGTGACTTTCGTTCTTCTACGGATTTCCTCATTTCTGATTCGATCACGTAGAGAAATACCATACATTGCTCGCTCTATGGCGCGTGACTTTGAGCTTTTTTATGAGGCTCATAGTAAGTGACCACGTCTCAGAGCCGTAGGTCATCGCTGGCACGTACTACTCAAAGACTTTTGTCTGCGGTATTGCGGACGAGAAGACGCCCCGGAGCTTCCCGAAAGCTGCCCAACTGAGTCGGATTCCACGATTGACCTCTTCCTCGAAGTTGCTCTGCCTAATTGGACGGTGTGTCCGAGGTAGACATACTCGTCAACAACTTCGAGAGTAGAGGTTCCCACTGTTATAGGGGTGGGTACAACAAGCACATTCGACATAAGTTTCGTCTTCTCCATGTTCATTTTTAGATCCACCTGCTGGGAAACTCTTTTGAGGTCACCTAGAGCTTGGCACCATGGTGGTGTCAAGATGGGTGCCAAGCTCTTCCAACGATTCTGCCATGACCACGATATCGTCAGCAAATCGAAGGTGAGTGATATACTCGCTATTGATGTTGATGCCGAGTCCTTTCCAGTCCAGTAACTTGAAGGCATCTTCCAATGCAGTGGTGAACAGTTTCGGAGAAATGACGTCTCCTTTTCGCACCCTCTTTGCAATTAGATAGGCCTTGTGCAATGGCGTCGAACTGATATAGTGACGTTTCTATATAAACATTTCAACACTTCGACATATCGATAGTCAATGCGGCACCGTTGTAAAAACTGAAGCATCGCTCAAATCTCGATCGATTAACATTATACTTTTTATCATATTAATAATTAATAACAAAAGACCAACATGGTGTCTAAATTATTACTACAAATACAATAATTTGGTTGTGTTCCATTCCTTTATAGACTAAAGAAGAATAATAGTGAGGCCTATGTTTTGACATAGTACTCGGATAGTTAGTCATAGACCCTTTTGACATGCCTTTATATATTTGATTTGCTATTATTATAATTACTTTGTTATTGTTTGATATGATTTTTCATGTCAAATAAAGCTGATGATTTTATTTTATTTTTATATTTAATAAAGTCGACATACCTGCTTATCACAATCGCCAGTGAGTCGTAAAACAACCCACGTGATAACATAGACAAATAGATTTGAAAAGACTGTAAACCCGTATCTGGAAATTACACAATTTAAATACAATTATTTAAATCGAACATTATAAAACTTGAGACTAAGAAAGCAATTGAAATTGGACGCGTATATGAGGTCTCGGCTTGTAACAGCGTTAAATCACGAAGAGTGGAAAAAGGGAAGGGAGGCCTTTGCCCTGCAGTGGGATAATAGTAAATTAAGTAGTAGAGCAATGGCTGAAAAATGAATGAAATAATATAGAACTAGTTTTCCCGGCCTGGGAATCGAACGTGGGGCCTCTGTATGGCAGACCAGCAAGGTAATCGTTCGGCCACAGAGGCAGTATTAAAAATTTACAGCTTTAACTGTTGCTTGTATCAAGAAATAATAAGTTGAAAATTTAATTATATTTTCGAATCTAAATCGCATATTGGAAACGAAACTATTTTAAGTATGTTTCGGCAGGCACTGGTTTGTTTAAAAAAACATGTATAAGTGTACGATTTTGATACAAACAAGTAATTTCACTTCCAATGTATAGCAATTGCAAAAACCGAAGAACTCGAAATTTAATTAATTATAAAATATTACGGTGATACAAATGTATGGTTGTATTGATTGGTTTAACAGTTTTTTTTCTGGTAAAACTGAATATTTAAAACTTCTTTTTCAAGATATGTATTGTAGAAGGAAAAAGCTATGAAGGAAATTGTTGGTTTCCACATGTCGCGACAGGTATACTAATAAAGTATGTATTTTGTAATTTGTGTTTGTATTTTCTATTTTAAAAACACCCCATGAAAGTATTTTGTATTTCAAATACACCTCAAGAAAGTATTTGGTATTTTGTATTTTAAATACATTTAAGGAAGTAATTTGTATTTCAATTAAGATGTAGCATGTATTTTGCCCAGCCCTGAATACAATACATTATATCATGGCGCAACATCGTTCAATAAATAGTTAAAAAATATAATTAAAAAATAATTTATTATTTACCTAACAGCAGTAAGATGAGTTCTAGTATGGCCATCTTCAGACAGTTCAGGTATCAAACCCAAATGTGATATTTGGACTGAAGCCCATCCAATTTGAAATATCATAATGAATGCTGAGTAATAGAACATTTGTGCCCATTTGTGCGTTGAGGAACATCCAATACATTCCGAGAAAATGAAAGGGAATGATGCCAAGACGCAAACCGTACCTAAAATAGCAAAGTATGTATAAAATTATAATTGAAATAAACAAGTAATTTGTGGTCATAAAATTTCAATACAGGATACAGGTGTCTTTTTATATCACTAGCCAGTTTTGAATATTACGAACTTTGATGAAAATATAACATATCGTTGTCTTAGAGTGAATACCTCGATCGTGATTTCTATTAAGAATAGGTTTTACAAATCGTATATAGTTAATAAAACTATATATTGTATCAATATCGAATATCCAATATTGTGTATCTTAGAAACTATATGTCGTTATTGCTCCGCATCGCGTATTTTATAGCGATGCCGAATCAAGCCGAGCAATTAGAATGGATACCAACACGAAATCATACATTTTCCAAACTATATACCGATATTGCTACATATAGATATTCACTGAGTGGATATCAACGTGAAACCATTTTTGTGCGTCTACGAAACTGTATACTAACATTGGCCCATACAGGGCATACAGGATGTCCCAAAAATAACACGCCAGAGCGACACTGTGGGTAGGTGAGCTATATACCTACCAGAAAAAAATAATTTGACCTTAGTAAAAGTCTTTTAGTTTTCGAGATATTTGCACTTTTTTATTTTTTTGGAATAACTCTACTATTTGTTGAGTTTTTTGCTACTATTGCCAGGGTTAGCTCCAGATGGTAGTTGTTTTTATTTTTCAGGTAACCTGAATAGTTTTTCCAGGTACTGCAACTAATATTTTATCTGACAAATGTCATAAAATGTGAAAAAAGTTATTAATTTGGTATACCTCGTACCCTTGTAAAAAGTTAAACGTTAACTTTGTAACTGAATTTGCAAATGATCTTAAAAATTGCTCCACTTAATGCAGAATCAGGAATGGTACAATATTATCAGCCTAATCAGTTTCTAAACAAAATTAAATTTAAACTTTTAAATGAATTAATTGCTAAGCGCTAGGTAACGGCGTATCAATCTTTTTCCCACGTTGTATTCGTAATAAAGGAGTGAGATAGTTACTAGGCTTTTCTTTCTCTCTCTGAACTGGTACAAACAAACTGTGACAAATCAAACTTCCCAAAAACATGCGGATTTAGCTACTAATAACGTGGTAGAGTGCCTTTGTGTATCGCTTGATTTGTCGCCGTTTTTACTTAATGGAAAATAAAACAATAAAATTTAAATCATTTAATTTTTATTAGATATTATAGCAAGTGTTCAAACTGCCTCCCTCTGACTCTAATGCACATGCGACATCTTTTGACGAATGAGCTTCTCAGACGCCTCAAACTCATTTGAGAAATTTCTCGAGCTACTTCATAGACTCGTCGTCGTAGTTCGGTTTCTGTAGTGATAGCTTTGGAGTAAACTTTATCTTTTAAGCACCCCCAATAGAAGAAGTCGAGGGGGTTCAGATCAGGTGATCTCGGTGGCCACAAAATTGGTCCAAATCGGCCAATCCATCTTCGTGGGAACGTCTGGTCGAGGTGCGTTCGGACGTCGCGAGCGTAGTGGGCTGGACACCCATCATTTTGAAACCAAATTCTTCTTAGTAATGCTATTGGCACATCTTCGAGAAGGTTTGGCAAATGGTTTTGTAACAACTCTAAATAATTTTCGCCATTTAGAGTCGGAGGCAGTTCAACTGGACCAAATATTTCCCCATTGAAAATTCCGGTCCATAAATTAATTTTAAACTGGTGTTGGGACCGATCTTCTCTTCTCTCGTGCGGATTCTCTAACTGCCAGCTATGGATATTGTGGAGGTTTACATAGCCATCTCTGCGACATGCTGATTCATCACTCCACAAAATCGTTTTAAAAAAGTTGGGGTCTTCACTGTGCTTTTGAAGCATTTGTTGACAAAACTGTACGCGTTTAGCGTAATCGCTCTGCAGTAAAGTTTGAACTCTCTGAATATGGTATGGGTGGTATCGGTGCCTTTTTAAAATTCGCTGTGCCGTAGATTTTGAAATGCCAGTACGTCTTTCTATCAGGCGAACCGAAGTGGACGAATCTCTTGACACTTCCTGCAAAACTATTTCGTCTGCGACGGTACGAGGTCTGCCTCCACCACGATGGCCAGGGTTCCTACCCTCTCTGTATGCAGCATCAACTCTTATTATGGTCTCATGGGTCGGTGGCCTACGATTAGGAAATCTTACCGCATACAATCTTGCTGCTAATCTTGCATTTAACGATACGATGCCGCGAGCAGAAACACGTCTAGTTTCGCCGTAAATTAGGTACATGTCAGCGTAATCACTATGAGTGAATTCGGGGTTTGCTCCAACGGTATTCTGTTGATCTGCCATTTTAACTGTATAAAGGCAGTATCCGGAGGCGCAGCCGTCGATCACACACAAACAACACGGTCCAAATAGTAAGCAAATCAGGGTCCAAAGTAATGCCAAGTTGTTGACATGATTACTAAAAAAACTTTTCCGATAGTTATCAAATCAAAGTAAAAAGTGGTGCCAAGTCGTCGAAAGTGTAGAAACGGAAGCAGCGATAAAACGAAAAACGCGTACGTAGCACAAAACACAAAGGTATGTACTAACGGGTACTACGGGCCCAACCCGACCCGATCCCACCTGGCGACCGATACCGACGTAAGAGAGAGATAACAAATAAGGGTCATACCTCTCGCTCATTTTTTACTACCTGGGGCCTAGCGACAGAGTAGTTAGTCATAAAGCTCAATAATTTAACACAATTTTTGTTTAGAAACCAATTCGGCTAGTAGGGTGTTGATGTCGAAAAAAAATTAAATGACTAAAGTTCTTGTCAAAAATTTCAATAGTATTGTACAATTCCTGATTCTGCATTAAGTGGAGTAGTTTTTATGATCGTTTATAAATTCAGTTTCATACAATTTTTTTCACACTAGCCATTCAAAGTTAATGTTTAACTTTTTACAAGGGTACGAGGTATACCAAATTAATCACTTTTTTCATAGTTTATGATATTTCTCAGTAAAATATTAGTTGCTGTACCTGGAAAAACTATTCAGAATACTCGAAAAATAAAAATAACATCCATCTGGAGCTAACCATGGCAAAAATAGCATAAAACTCAACAAAGAGTACAGTTTTGGCAAAAAAAAAAAGGGTCTACATCTCGAAAACTAAAAGACTTTTACTAGGGTCAAAATATTTTTTTCTGGTAGGTATATAGCTCACCTACCCACAATGTCGCTCTGGCGTGTTATTTTTGGGACACCCTGTATAGTTTCGAAATCTGATTCCAAATATCAGTAACGGCAATGTATCAACGCAGCGCGCACGCGGGATGTATCCATGAATATATAGTTACAGAAAATATGTAGTGTCGATATCCGATTTCGAATATCAGTAACGGCAATGCATCAACGCAGCGCGTACGCGGTCTGTATCCATGAATATGTATATAGTTTCAGAAAATATACAGGGTGTAAATTTAAATGTAAAGCAAGGGCAGCCACCTCAATCGTTGTAGTTGCAGGAAAGCGGTTCTAGAAGACTATCCATGAATTTTGAAGATATTTTGATTGGCATTCACAGATTTTGAAAAAATGGTACAGTCAGCAAGATAAAAGGCAATTTTTACTAAACAAAAATTTAAATTTTTTTTTTTATGCCATTCGATCCGGTCTCTGTTAAGGATCAATAGTCTCTATGGGACCAACTGAGGTAAGAGTACTCGAAATGTCGGAAATCGCCAAAAAACTTTTGACCATATATTTTGTAGGGACATTATTTTTACCATATATTTAGTAATCAGTTATTCCAAAACCATAATCATCGATAAGTCAATATCGACACGCAAATTATGGCTTAAATGTTGGAACTGTTTTTTTTTTGTAATGTTTGTAATTTGTATAGTTTACTGTAATCAAAGTATGATCAAAATGTTTAATTAAAGTAGATCAATATTCATTGTCATATGGGAATAACCGGGATGATAGATATGAGATTTTGAATTTATTATTTTGCGCTTTTAAATGCTCACGTATTACGCAAAATAATATAAATCAGGAGATCTCAATGCATTTCCAATGTCAAGACTGATATTAGATTTTTTTAAAAGGTTTCCAAATAGTTTAAACTGATTTGTATTTACGTATTGGTAATATTGATTTAGATTTAGGTGAATCTAACACTTCCATTTAATTTTTGAAATAAATAAAATTACTTATACATTCTTAATAACATTATCGATAATCATAAAATCAGATGCAATATTAATAATAGGTTATTTGCCTAAAATATGGTATAACAGAAGATGTAGCACGAGACAGTGTCAGTATAAACATGTTATATTACATAACCATACATTAAACTACCACAACAATAAAAATGTCAGAACAAATGGTCACAAGTTAAGCCCGCTCCACATTCTTGCCAAAACTTCACGAGAACAGCCAAATTCGAGAGTGTAGTGACCATATTCGTTAAGTCTCGCCTATGTTCGTGTGGTCTCCACTTCGTGTCGGTATTTCGGACCCGAATCAAAGGGCTCTCGTGTAGTTTTGTGTTTGCGCGAGACCCGTTCCTCCACATTCCCGTCACGACAGTCCGCTGGTAGTAAACGCAGTGTTCTGTTGCGATGTATTGATGTCATCCACCATCTGCGTCCATTACAACGTCTCTTAATAAGTTTTTTTTTTCGAATTAACAAAATATTGCAATATGCTATAGCACATAATGCTGCAGCAACAGACGTATCTAACACGTCCATCTTGTATGACTACCGAACCGACAACTGTGCGGGCGAGAATGTGGAGTGCCACTCTCGGTCTCGTCCTGTCTCGGCGAGACCCGAGACCGGGATGTCTCGACGAGAATGTAGAGTGCACTTTACAAATTAAATTTGCCAAAATTATTAAAATCAAGATAAAATTTTACATCTTATTTCCTGTCAAAAAATAAATTATTATTTAATCACTTACATAACTTCGTTATAAACAAACATGAGTCTAACAATTTAATCTTGAGTGGTATTTTATCATAGATAGATAGATAGATAGATAACACGATTATTCAGCACAAATACAAACAGAAACAAAACATTTACAATCACTTCACAGAGTATAACGTGAAAGCACATAGAACATTCATTATTAATTTTATACACATTTATACAAAACACATATTGCGAGAAAAACAAACAAATACTATAACTGATAAAATTTTAATGTACTTATGACTACAGTCTGTGCTGAAATGGCCCTGACTCAGCATAAATCCTGTAGACCGAGAGAAGTCAAACAGTGCTGGTTTTCTGCCAGTACCATATGGTGAGCGATCGCAGCCCAGTAAGCCATGCCACCAAAGTGCGTCACACGCAAATATATATACCTAACTCTAAATACTATACATATATAAGTATATCAAGCAAAAGTGTAAGATGTAAAGCAAACAATGTAAATAGTGTAAGTATGAAGGTAAGCAATATAAATAATAATGTAAGTTTACAAACATAAATTAAATTACAACAATAGCCACCAAATATGAGCATGTATAGATACGGAAATGTAGGTTTACAGGTATCGAACGCATTGATTAGGGAAATATCTATGTAGCGAGACACATCTGCTCTGACAATAGATGTTTTTTGTCTTCACACTTAAATCGTTTTTTATTATTGATGTCACGCAATGGAGGAGGAATATCATTCCAACACTTACTGGCGCGATACCTGAAACCGCCGCGAAAAGCAGTCTGTCTTTTGGGATGTTAATAACATTTTTAGAAACTAATCTGAACTTATCCCCCCTTACACGTTGTGACCATTTAATCTTGTGGTATAGATAATCAGGTTTCCGGGTTTTAACGATTATTTTTGAATGATTAAAGATTCACTTAAATTAGCCACTGATATTATTTTATACCAATGCATAAATACAAAAAAAGCTTACACTATTTGGAATTTGTTTAAAAATGTCTCTATAAAACTATGAATTTTGAGGTTGGAAATGTATGGGATTTACATTGCAAAGTTTTCTCTTTTTTATTATATACTCTCAAATTACAAAATATTAATATTTTCTGTGCAAATTCACTTTTCGTAATATTTGAGTATTTGTAAACGCAAAACTATGAATTCAAAATTTCATGTGACATTCCCGTATATTCCCCCATATAACATAAAATATTCCCAAATGGAATATTGATCTACTAAATGTTTAATCTCCTTAATGTTGTCTAATTAAATGTTTGCATGTCGATAATGGCTTATCGATAGATTATGGTACGACACTAAAGAAATCCGCTGTTTGTTAGTTCAATTTTTGTTTAGGTATGTACGTTCATTCCGTAGTTAGGGCAGCTCCTTTCTTCTACTTTTTTCCATCCTCTAAAGGTCGTATTACAGAACTCTACTCAATGCTCAAGTCAGGACTTGAGTATGATTTAAAGCACTGAAAATCATACTCAAGTCCTTGCCATTATGGTCGTATTTCCAGTGCTTGAAATCATACTCAAGTCTGGTCAAGTCCTGACTTGAGCATTGAGTAGACTTCTGTTATACGATCCTTAGGGTCGTATTCTAGAACTCTATTCAATGCTCAAGGCAATATTTGAGTATGGTTTAAAGCACTCGAAATTATACTCAAGTCCCTGCCATTAGGGTCGTATTTCCAGTGCTTGTGTTTCCATTGCAATCCTGACTTGAGCATTGAGTAAAGTTCTAGAATACCACCCTAAGACATATAATGTCTGATTTATTTATGTCAATATGTCCTTTGGTTTCCATATTCAAGGAACCATATAATGCAATCTCTTCCTTTTTTGATGTTCCGAATCGTCTTATCGTAGTATAATGCTTAAGTACCTACTTAATGTTATTTACATTCAGAGAATTTTAAACAATGATATTATACGTATTATTTATTCTTACTGATTTTAACTGTCAAATATGTGATATGTGATAATAAAATCTATTAAAGTTACGTTGTTATCAATTATTTTTCCGCATTTTCATGAAGAAAAATAAATAAACATGCTGAGTCTTGATAGTCACGTTGTGAATCACTGTTAGTGTCGCCAAGGAGCGTATAGATGTCGCTGTCATAATTTTACGAAATAAACACCGCGTATTTTTACTTAACGAGAAATTATTTCCTATGTAGTATTAAATAAAAAAATTGTTCAGGACGAAAACGTGTTCGCGCCCATATGATTTATAATATTGTAATTTATTATTGTAATTTATTATTGTTAATTTCGTGTAAGATTTTGGTTAATAAACGAGAGGGAGAGAGGGGTTTTGCTTGGAGTCTGTAGGGTTCTCCCGTCCCGCTCCTGCATTGGTGCCGTCCCGCTCGCACACTTGAATAGAATGCGAGCGGCACGGCGGGCCAGCGATGATATAAAAGGCGGAGCGTTGGGAGCGGAACGACATTCCAAAACTGACTGCACAAGAATCCGAAGGCGTTCCAAATCTCACCGCGATCCAAGCAAAACCAAGATCAAGAAGCTCAATTTACAACCAGGCGTTTTTTCACTTAATCCGCCCCCACAAAAATAAACAAAATATTGAAGAGATTTCTGTAAATAAATAAGTTCAACTTAACTTTTAATCATTACAAATCAATATTTAGACAATAAATTCGAAAATAATATAGTCCACTGCGCCGGAGTAACTATTTTAATATTGCTAAATTTGACATAAGAACAATATTACTTTAATGTTAAAGTCGTGTCATAATACGACCTGAGGGAATGAATAGTCACAAAGCTGCCAAAACAACATCATAGTTTTAACATTATAATAAGCTTACTTTTAACGCGTCTTGGTACGAAAAGTCAATGCTAGGTTAAAGTAATATTTAGAGGCGTCTAAACGAAAAGCACTTAAAAAAGTCTGCTTTTTAAAATAAGCGCATAAGCACGCTTTTCATTTTAAGCGTTGGTTTTAAACTTAAAGTCTATGCGCTTAAACATTTTTGTAAACAACTTTTTAAGCGTCAAACTAAACAGCGTAGTGAAAAGCGCTGTTACAAGCACGCTTTTTAAACGTACTGTTGCAAGCTTTTTTTAACATAAAAGTCTATGCACTTAAACGTTTTCTAAAAGATTTTGTTAGCTTCAAACTAAAAAGCGTTTAAGTGAAAAAGCGTTTAAATAGCACGCTTTTTAAAAAAAGGATAATGTTTAAACTTTAACATTAATGTTTTTAAACTTTAAAAAAAATAAGCAGTTTTTCCCATCTTTAGTAATATTGTTTGAAGAGGTTACAGTAGGCCCTCAGGCAATTCTTTTTATGCTCAAGAACTGACTGGTTATAATTCGTATTACGACATAAATATTTTTCGCCGACTTCTCGCTGATTATTGTCTATGACTGGGATTTGACTAGCTCATGTTTTTTATATTTTGTATGTATACTTACTGGTAAGTTACGGTGTTATATTTGTCACTTAGTTTTAATGAAAAATAATAGATATGTATTATTCATGTACGAAAGTAAATAAAGTCACTATATAATAATAATAAAGACACTATAAAATAATAATAAAGCCACTATATAATAAAATCAATACACTATATTTTATTTTTGGAAATCGCAAATAAAGTTTCCGAACGACATCAAATGTCGACAAAATTCCACAGGTAAATATTTACTTTGTAGTTTGTTGAAAACATGTCGATAATACTTAAAGAATATTTTGACTATAAATTAAATTGTAAAAAATTATACTTGGCTTTAGCGAAAAATAACCTTAGTCTCAAGTAATAAATTGATGGACTTTGTAGGCCTCGACATGTGCGGTTTTTTGCATAGATTGTGGACCATATCTTTACTAAGCTGGTATCTTTTCATAAATTGTTGTGCATCCATTTCACCATTTCTTTCGATTTTTTTTCATATTATTATTGTGTGAAGCATCACTTTCGAGTTACTCAAATATTTTGTATTCATCACACATAATGAAACAATTCCCTAAAAATATATAAACTCAAAATTATAATAATTATTATACAATTATGCACAAAACAATTCAATAAAAGCTACACCAAGACACTGTAAACTGAATGGTTTATTGTTGTTACTTTTTGACAGATCAAATATGAAGAAAATGTAAAAATAATGTTTGTAATACGATGTTGCCAGCCAAACTTCGGGCAGAAGACAGCCTAGTGTCACATGATCACTGACTGGCTGGTATTACCAATTCATAATGCAAGGCGGTGTGAGGCATAAATTGCATAGAAATAAGAGTTTATATTAGGCCTCTAGGTCCTTAATATTTTTTTCTGGCAAGTTACTTAGTCAAGTATGATTAAAAAATATAAAATAAGATATTAAATAATAAGATATTAAAAAATACATGGATTTAAGGTTTGTAAACGTTTTATACATACCAAATAAATGCCATAATTTTCTTCTCCCATATCGAAGACTAAGCGAATTATCAGTACGGTCTGAATGATATCCAACGAACGGCGTCGATAAAGCATCTACTATTTGCCCCACCAACATTAAATTTCCTGCCTGGGAGGCATTAAATTCAAGCACTAAATGAAAAAATACCAACAGGTATGTAAACCACAAACTCGCGCAAACATCGTTAAGAATATGACCAACACCATATCCTAACTGCAGTTTTAAGCTTGTTGATATGTCGATAAGCTCATCATCCATTTCAAAGAAGGAAAATTAGAAACTTTTACAAAAAGTTCATAATCACCGAGAGGCGAATATTATAAGGAAAATTTTCAATTTACTGAAACTAGGTATCTAGTAGTAGGTAGTACGTAGTAGTTTGATTTTCGAAGACCACAGGAAATTAGATAAATGTAACTAAACGATGATGTGGCGATAATTAGAATAAAATACTACACAAAGCAAATTTAAATAAAACCCATTCTTAACACATTACACACATAAAATATGACGTTTACAACAACCAACCAACAGCAACTACACAATGTAAGCAAACGTGAAACAAGCTAATTTGTCAAAATGTCAGCAATCAAATGTCAATAAAACGTCACAAGTCATTTTTTTTTTAAATTTTCACTAAGTCGAAATCGAATCGAAAAAATCGGGAGAGCTGAATTTGATCAATTTTATGAAATTAATTTTGTATAAAAAACATTTAATTAAATTTGACCAATTTTTGTTGTCCCAATTTTTACGCCCCTTACAGTGAAATGATTCTTACATGAAACTGATCTCATTTTTTATTATCAACTCAAACTTGACCAATTAGTGAATATGCCATTATATTTTTATTCAATAAATATAGTTATCTGTAAACTTATTGATACCTATAAAAGTAGATCAACTAAAGTCTCTCCACGAATGTCACAGCGTTTAAGCGTTCCTTTTTACATATTTTACATTATATTAATTATTAACAATTATCTGTGTTAAAAATGTTCTCCTCACCTTTTTCCAATAATTCAATTATGTGTTTCTATTATTTCTTCGTCTTTCTTCATCTCGTTTGTCGCGCTCAATGTTTAAGTTGCTAAAATTACTGTGTAAAACTGTCAAAATGTTTTAAAATCATCTGTGATCTTGTGGCTATGTTTGGCACTGCGTTAATCTTTGGCAGTCATTGGTCGCGGCACTCGCGATGATATAAAAATGTGATGTCACGGTGCTCGTTTGGTGCTCGTCATGCTAGCTATTGTGATAAAACTTTAAAATTCCGGTTTATCACTTGAATTTGACAGTTAACTGTGGATATAATAGCTTTATCACGGCGGAACGCTAGGGGCAGAAGGTTTAAACTTCTGTATAGCGACATTTGCTATAGTCTAGTTGGCAACACGGCGGTCATTCCTGTCACAATGACTATCACAGTCGAAGAGGCTGTTTATTAGAACCTTTGCCTATCCAAATACATGGGGTGAAAGCAATGATATTGGGTGAAAGCATAGTGAAAGTGAGAAAGAAAACAATTTTAAAAAAAATCTGCACTTGACAGGAGTGGTGTTCATGTAAAAAAAATCGATATTTTTCCGAGGTGATATATCGATATATTGCGATATATCGGTACAAAACATGTATACTTTCGATATATTGTAAATCCACCAATTTTGACACAATATTCAAACGCAATAATCAAATGTATTTCTTATTTTTATACTCTCCAGACTGCCCTGCAGAAGGCCCTGACTGGAGGGCCTTCCCCACTAAAATCATTTACCTCCCGCCGGTTGAGTCGGCGCCGTGGGGTCGGTGCACATTTACCACGAGGTCGCCCTTTTTTTTTTTGACGTGGGAAATCTTTATAGATACCCCAGGGAGACTCAGGGGTTATGTGAGGACTCTCCCTCCAGACTGGAGGGCCTACCCCACTAAAACCCCCCCGGGTTTCCGTCTCGCCGGTTGAGTCGGCACCGTGGGATCAGTGAACATTCACCACGACGCCGCCCCGCCGCTCTAACTTACGCCAGGGCTCCCGCGCCAACGGAGGGGCGAGTCGATTGTCCTCCGACCCGCCCCTCAGACGAGTGAGGCCGTGCAATGCAGGCTCCGGAGTCCCTGTCCAGAGCCCGCTGGTCTCACTAGGGGATCAGGCGAGCAGCGAACTGCCTTCGCCTTCTCCCCGTACGTCTGCGCTGGAGCGGGTGCGCGTCCGCCACATCCTCGCGCACCCGCTCCGTGGCCTCCTTTTGCGACATAACCTCTGCGCAAAAGGAGGCCACCGCCTTCCAGGACTCCTCGCTATCGAGCATGGCGGCAACCACTCTCGGCAGCGAGAGGTTTTGCCCTACAGTCCCCGTCAGAGTGCGGCGCTGCTCATACCACCGGCTACACACCTCTAGGGTGTGCTGCGCGGTGTTATCCGCAGCGCCGCACTCGTGACACGACGGGGACGGTTCCCTCCTTGCCACCTTGTGCAGGTAGTGACCGAAGTAGCCGTGCCCGGTCAGCACCTGCACAAGGTGGTACGACAGTGGCCCGTGGGACCGGTTTACCCACTCTACGAGGACAGGGCGGATCGCCTCTATGGTACGAGCGCCATAGGGGGGATCCGCCAAGCCCTCTTTCCACCGGTCCCGCAAGCGCTGCGCCGCGAGGCAGCGCCCCTGCTCCACCTCTTGGCGAGCGGGTCGCTCGCCTCGGTCCCTCATTCCCCGCCGGTAGGTGCGGACCTCCGACAGGACCTCGGCTTCAAGGTCCCACGGCGGAGTACCGGCAAGGACGCATGCGGCAGCGCAGGCCATCGTCATGTACGCCCTGCACATTCGCAGGGTGACCACCCTCTGGGGCCTCCTCAGCAGCGACTTTGTCGCCGCTGATGAGGCCCCACTCCAAATGGGAGCCCCGTATAAGGCCATACTCCGTGTCATCCCGACGTACAGCCTTCTGCATGAGGCTCCCGGCCTCCCGAGGTTGGGCAGGAGCCTGCCCAACGCCGATGCGGCGCCCACTATTCGGGGAGCAAGTTGCCGGAAATGCTCCCCGAAGTTCCATCCGGTCCAGGACAAGTCCCAGATATTTCATCTTGGACTTGACCGGGACCGATACTCCCGCGATGGAAATGTGGGCGCCTGCCGGCACCGCCCAACCTCTACCCCTCCCGCCGAAGACGGCCACATCCGACTTCAGCACGGCGACCTCGAGCCCCAGCAGTTGTATTCGGCGTACCACCATGTCCGCCGCTACTGAGGTTCTTCTGGCCGCCTCCAGGAAGGTGGTCCCCCGGACGGCCACCAGCGTGTCATCGGCGTACGCGATGACCGCCGTCCGGGGGAGCAGCGTGCCCCTCAGCACCCAATCGTACCCCAGGTTCCACAGTAGTGGTCCTAATACGGACCCCTGGGGTACTCCGCACCTCATTGGGCGCTCGGCGCGCCTCCCTTCCCTCGTCTGGTAGAGCACCACCCTGTCCTCCAGGTAGTGCTCCACCAGACGGCTGAGGTACCTGGGGATATTATGGTACCTCAGCGCCTCCCTGATAACGGCGAAGGGGAGAGTGCCGAAGGCGTTGGCTATGTCCAACAACACAGCCACCACGCCTTCCCCCTCGCCGTTACCCTCCTCCACGATGTGTCGCAGCGACTCCAGGGCGTCCAGGGTGGAGAGTCTAGTCCTGAACCCGTACTGCCGCTGCGACACATCGGGGCCTGTCCCCCTCAGGTGTTCGTTGATCCTGGAGGCGATGATTCGCTCCAGGATCTTCGCCACCTCGTCCAGCAGGACGAGGGGCCTGAACCCCGACGTGGAGTCCGCAGGTCGGCCCGGCTTGGGCACCAGGACGAGCCTTCCTTCCTTCCAGCATCTCGGGAACAACCCCGTCCTCAAGCAGTCATCCATGAGATGCTTGAGGCGAGTCCCGAGATGCTTCAGGGCAATGCGAAGGACTCGTCCCGGTACCGGGCCGGGAGCCTTCTTCCGTCCCCGCAGCCGTCCCACCGCCCACTCCAACTCCCCCTCGGTGATTTCCGGGGGGGGGGTTCCTAAGTCTGCCCCCGTCTGCTCTGAGGGGCACCATGGCCGGTGAAGGGCTGCGGTTCGGGAAAAAGGCCCTCCCGGTTGAGGAGATCCAGCTGCAGTGACTCCATGGGAGATATTTTGTTGCGCACAACTTTGTACGGCCTCCCCCATGGGTCCGCGTCCAGGGTGGCCAAGAACTCCTCTTTCGCAGAGTCCTTGGCCCGCCCTATTGCGACCTTCAGGGCGCGAAGCAGGCAAGGAGAGAAGGCTCCAGGGTGCTGTGGAGCCTTCTCTCCTCACTTTGGGTAGTGGCGCCTGCGGCGGCATCGGTCATAGGCCCGCCGGGCCGTGGTACTGGCGGTGCGGAGGTCCCCATTCTCCGCAGTCCACTAGTACACACCTATTTTTGCCCGGGGTCCCTCTGACCCTGGGCATGGCCCGCTCGCAGACGGCAGTCAAGTCTTCCCTGAACTAAACCGCCCTCTGCTCCACATCGACGGTGGCCGCTGGGGGGGGGGGACCACGACTGGAACATGGCTGCTTCCTCTGCAAGCTCATAGTCCAGGCGGGTGAGTGCCCATTTGGGAAACCCCCCCCCGGGGGGCCGTGTTGGAGGCCGTCTTGGGCGGCTTATGGGAGACCCTCATCCGTATGTTTTTATGATCGGAGAGGGTCTCTTCGTCTTCCAGGACCTGCCAACCGGATACTCGCGCCACTAGTGAGGGGGTCGCAAACGTGACGTCCACGATTGACCCCCATTTCGCCGAACGCACGTGTTGGCATGGCCCCGGTTGAGGATGGCTAGCCCTAAGACTGCCGCCCAATTCTCCAACTCTGGCCCCCTGGCATTGCTGACCGGGGAACCCCACGCGGCGCTCTTGGCGTTGAGGTCCCCCATCACCAACACCGGCGCCGGAGCTGCCCTCCTTATCGCCCTCTCTAGGGTCTCCGCTAGCTTGCGCCAGGGCTCCGGCGCCAACGGAGGGGCAGATTAGTTGTCCTCCGAACCGCCCCTGACGAGTGAGGCCGTGCAATGCAGGATCCGGAGTCCCTGTCCAGAACCCGCTGGCCTCACTAGGGGGTCAGGCGAGCAGCGAACTGCCTTCGCCTTCTCCCCGTACGTCTGCGCAGAAGCAGCTGCGCGTCCGCCGCGTCCTCGCGCACCCGCTCCGCAGCCTCCTTTTGCGACACCTCTCCGCAAAAAGAGGCAACCGCCTCCCAGGACTCAACGCTACCGAGCATGGCAGCAACCACGGCCGGCAACGAGAGGTCCTGCCCTATTGTTTTTGCCCCAACAGAGTAGCCGTACTCTAGCCGTCGGGCTGCTCATCCCAACGGCTGCGCACCTCTAGTGTACACTCGTGGCACGACGGGGACGGTTCCCTCCTGGCCATCTTGCGCAGGTAGTGACCAAAACAGCCGTGCCCAGTCATCAACTGCACAATGTGGTACGACAGTGGCCCGTGGTAGGGTAGTACTACCACCTTGCCTACCTATTTGTGTCGCCAAACAGTAATGTCAGCTTTATTATGTTCCGGTTTTGAAGGGTAAGGGTGCTGGTGAAGTTACAGGCACATGGGACTTGTCAACTTATGTCTCAGGCTGACGGGCGCAGTGGCAGTGCCCCTTAGATCTTTGCAATTTAAAGCCCTAAGTGGCACTGTAACTGTTATGGACAGGCGTGTATCTCTCCATCAGGTGCACGACTTGTTCATTCCATCACTTGATGTTATAAAAAAATAATACAATCCAAGTTTATGTTAGTTTCGAGTTCTGTGGTTTTCGCGATTGTTACACACAGGAAATGAAACTATTTTTCCGGATTTAAATCGCGTATATTTGTTTTTTCATACAAACCGACGTTTCGGGCCCTTTACAGGTCCCTTGGTCACCGTGACCACTTTATGTATGTTCCCAACACAACAATTTCGGCCGCACACAAACAATATTATTGTGTGTGTGCTAGCCAATGAGAATATAACCATTCGGATGACCAGCGAATCAGCGCTTGAAGTGCGTTTCGTTTCTGCTAGTACAATTTTGAATTGTCTACGTACTTTCAATTTTGAACGATCTTTCATGTATCGGATAAAAATATCGATACCGAATGATACGATAGTACCGATTGATTCCATGTATCGAGGACATATATCGATATTTTTTTTCGAATATCGATATATATCGACTATCCTTCTCGATTGTTATACCGGGGTACCGTGGTGAGGTTATGCTTTTATCAGTAAAGTAATTTAGCATAAAATAAAATAATCTAATATTTTATGTGTTCAGAGTGAATTATGGTGTATTTAGGCAACTGTTGATGATATATGCATCGGTAAAATGGGTTCTAAACCTGTGCTATTATTTGGTATTACCATTCTCTTGATTTCATCTGTTGTTGGTGATGAATTCAAGGAGGAAATATTCTTCAAACCTTTGCCTCCAACTCATCTGTATTCCTTTTTCCAATTTGTGACTTTAGTAAATAGCGGATTTTCATGTAAGTATGGTATCTTCTGCTGTACATTGTAATTAAAAATTACTGTTCGTTAAGTACTTATTTGTCTTACTTGTTTCTAGATGAACATTCCCACTTGTCACCCAGATCCCTCGGTGAAATAATATCACGATTTCAAGTAGAAGAGTTGCATTTAACTTTAACTGAAGGACAATGGCGGCATCATCAATGGGGTTACCCTGTACTGGATGCAGCCCCAGGCGCGGAACTATACGCTTGGTTTTCACCTGACATTCGAGACATAGACACCCAATGGCGAAAACTGAGTGCTACACTTTCTGGACTATTCTGCGCTTCTCTGAACTTTATAGATAATTTCAACACAGTTGTACCACAAATGGCTTTATCACCTTCAGGTGCTTTTAAAAGTACTCAGAATGTTACATCACTCTTACGATATGCTTCATTACCTAGGGAAATGGTCTGTACTGAGAACTTAACCCCTTGGAAGAAGCTGTTGCCCTGTGAATCAAACCGTGGTTTCTCTGCATTACTTAATTCAAGAATGATTCATAACACTAACTATCATTCCATAGGTGTACATGTGAGAAAGAAATGTGCATCTAAAGATTGTACAGAAACAGAACTTGAAATAAAGCAAACAGTTGCTCTTGTATATGACTATAAAATCATAGAGAGTGCAGACTGGTCCTTTAGAAGACTGTTTGGGCAAGGCTTACCTGGTGCTTGTCCACTCTCATCGTCCAGCAAGGTTTATGTGGATATCTCCTCTAATAGTACACAGCCTTTTACATTACACCCACCACCAAATGACATTGTTATATCCAACAGGGGAGGCAGTGAGGTCCAGTTAGCTGTATACAACATAAATGCTGATGGTCAAATGATTAACATATTTTCAAAACATGATAAATTAAACAAACTGGTTGTGACTACACCACCTCCGTTATATTTTAATCGCTATGTTTTAGGATATGGTAAGGAATTTGGTGGTATTGTCACAGAGTTGGTTAACAATCATTGGACATCTATAAATGTTGTTGTGTTAGAAAATGGACCTTGGTGGTTACCTATTCAATTGAGTTCATTGAGAATAAATGGTGAAGCTGAAAGTAAGCTAGTTCTTTCACAGTATTATTCACCAGGGCGCAGTAGACAAAAACCATATCACTTGGAACTTTTACTCAAATTGCCTCCAAGATCTACTACAACAATTACAGTGGACTTTGAATTTGTATTCTTAAAATGGCAAGAATACCCCCCTGATGCCAATCATGGATTTTATATTGGCTCTGCATTAATTGCTGCTAATATGCCAACAGCAAGAAATTACACTAGTTTGCCAATTACTGGCAGTACTTTTGATTCAATAGTGAATGCTTCTATGCAATGTGAGTATTGTACTTATTACATGTCACTACACTATTTGTTTGCTTAACTTAATGTGGCTAATGGAATTTATGTTATTGTTTGTTTTTCAGGGTACCCTATTCTGTTTCGGTCTAATGGTGCTATGGTTTCCCTACCTACTCCAGACTTTAGCATGCCCTACAATGTCATCTGCCTCGCCTGCACTGTTGTGGCCCTTGCATTTGGCCCTCTTCACAACATTTGTACCAAGGAGTTAGTTTTAAAGCCGGTTGGATCTCCATTGTCATTACGTCAAAGAATTATGAATTTGTTCAAGAGAACGAAAGAATAAGTTTTGCCTGACTTTCTGCCTGCACAAATGTTACCAAAAATAAGAACACATTGACTGACAAATAATTTTAATGTATGTTTGTAACATAGAATATTATGTAATGAGATTATACAGAGTGAAATTTAATTTATTAAATAATTTTCGAGAACAACAGTACATGAACAACTGTTACTAAAAGATTATCTCTGTATCAACCCAACATCTTACTATTGGGTACATGTCTTTCAGGAAAGCGTTTAGGGTTTTGTTCATTATGTGGCCCAATTGAATGGGGTTTGGAATTTTACAAGTCTAAAGAGCTTAGTTAACCTCCAACATACAGGTTTCATTGCAATATTTTCTTTGATTGTTTTAGTGAAAATATAGAAATTATAGTCTGATAGAGGTAGAAAATATTGTTCGAAGAAGATTGCATATTTGGGTGATATTTGAAAGTATTACTTAACAAAATAAATGTCATAAATACATAATAATCCCTAGTCTAATGAATATTTTTTTCATAAACGAAGCCACCAAAGTGACAATATGATAATTAAATTTTTATTGATTTGATATTCAATTATTTTTTGTGAAATTACTCCATTAGTTTGTTATAATTATTAATACAAAGATCGAACACTCAAAAAACATTCCTTCGATCCGGTCGGACTCGAACCGACGTCTTCTTGCATACCGTGCCAGACGCTATA